TCCAGTTGGATGCTACAACGAGCATCCGTCTCGTAGAAACTGTCACAAGAAGTCAAAGAAGCGCTACAAACAGAAGAACAAATGATGACCTATTTTACTAAAAACCAAAATAGAGCGTGTTATTGTCTTGTGTTTTGCTCTCGATCTTCTCTGCATCTAATTCTGAGTCTAATGCAAACTCGCTTTTACTACACAGCAAATACTCTTTGATATCATCAGAATCCATAGAAGAACAAACATCGTCTTGTTGCATGGGTGAAATAAACACAGATTGAATTCATTTAAAGGCGATTCATGTGTGATTGTTGTTTTGATTTGTATTATGGTGTAAATCAGGTAAAATTGCTGCTTGTGTATTGATTGTATTTATTAAACGCCTAACAAATCAGTCGTAGCCTTACTTCCAATCACACGTGGTAATTTCATTAGCAACTTTCATATTCAGAATTTCTATTAGTTAGATCGATTGAACCTTAAAAAGTATTGGTGAAATTAATCACATTTCTGTATTAGTTTATTCATCCGTTGTGTACGTGATCTCGTTTTCTATTGTGCTTATGCAGCAGCACAATCCTATAATCCTATACCACATACTTGTGAATATTCCTGGCTCATCATATGACTTAGATGACACTGTTGATTGCTGTGATGTCTCAGCAGAGTCCTGAACAGACACCTTATCAGATACATTATCAATCACCTTATTAGATTCCTTGTCAACCTCCTTGGGCGGAGAGAGGCGAACAACTTCCTGTGGTGATATTGGAGTTGATTTCAGGACGGAGGCACGAATTGGTTTATGTACCGTAGGCTGGGCTGGGCCTTGTACAACCACCCGTTCTGGTCTCTCCATAGAAATCTGAATTGCTTCCCGAATTTTCTTCTGAAAAGATTCATAACTAGCCAACAATGCCTTTGTCTCAGTAAAGATCTCTGATGCTGTCCTTTTGTGCTCCTTGGCAGCTGGATGTGGAATGGGACGGCGATAGATCGGAAGAGGATGCTCAATTGGCTCTGGATCCAACAATTTTTGCATTGATGAGCCACTTTCGTTCTTTTCACTCTTTACCCTCACATCAACCACTTCACTTACTTGNTAGGCTGGGCTGGGCCTTGTACAACCACCCGTTCTGGTCTCTCCATAGAAATCTGAATTGCTTCCCGAATTTTCTTCTGAAAAGATTCATAACTAGCCAACAATGCCTTTGTCTCAGTAAAGATCTCTGATGCTGTCCTTTTGTGCTCCTTGGCAGCTGGATGTGGAATGGGACGGCGATAGATCGGAAGAGGATGCTCAATTGGCTCTGGATCCAACAATTTTTGCATTGATGAGCCACTTTCGTTCTTTTCACTCTTTACCCTCACATCAACTACTTCACTTACTTGCTTAATATCGGACTTTTTCTTTTCGGCTGACATCAGCTTATTCAATGCCTTGTTTGTCTCTTCATTGATACGCGCCATCTCCTCTTTGCTCAAATCAAGAGCTGGAATTGTAATGGTCTTATTTCCATTCAAGAATACATGAGGTGAATCCTCAAGTTTCGCATTTTGGCCATCCCAGGAGCACATGAACACTACAGGGTTCTTCTTGTTCTTCTTTTCTTCCTTCTTTGCCTGTTTGATTGCACGTGCTGCTTCTTTAGCTTCCTTAGCCTTCATTTTCTTTCTCAGCTTTCTTTCTAGCTTCTTATCAGAGACTGGATCCTTTAGGCTGTCATCCAGAAGAATCACCTTATTGTCATTGGAGTTAGTCTTTGGTTCCTGTGTATCTGGGCTCTTCTTGTCAACTTCTTTATCAGGGCCTGTTCGATCACCAGGCGGGGCCTTTGGGTCGATCTCGCTGTTCCCATCTGCAGCTGGGACTTCGCTCGACTGGGGCCACAAGGCTGCCAGTAGTTGCACAACCGCAATTGTTATGGTGTACGCGTGGCATAGCAAGAGCGCTTCGACCAGGAGCGTAGACAAATTCCACAGAAAAGCAGTCAACAACATGAACATATAAAACAAAACAAACTTGTTTTAAACGGATCAAACAACCTGAGACAGATGACGTCATCTGGGACTGCAATTGGTGCAATTGTTGCTCTGTTTGATGACGTAATAAGCAAGATACCAAAATATTATGTAATTTGTTTTGGATTTTTTTATTACTGGATATTCTACTATAATTGTGTTGGTAGTCTGAAATAGATCAGTTTGATCAGAAATGGATCAGATTTAGGCTTGTGTGGGTTGTTATGAAAATATACACTCTTACAAATCTTATTACAGCTAGGTTTTCCACTATGGACAAAAACCTAAGAAAACTTTACAACTCACGCGACAAATAAGATAATGGCATTTGAGATGTATGGTGGCTCTGCAGCAGTTATCACACTAACACTTGATTCTAAAAACACATTCTTGAAATGCAATAAGGCAGGGGTGGCCAAACGTGACCAAATTGTCTATATTTTTTCTTAGGCATTTCTAGTAGGAAAAGCGCCATATGAAGCATTTTAATCCCTGTATCACGATATTTTTTGCCATACTTTTGAACCTTACGATAATACTGTACAAAACGAAAACCTTATTTTTATCCCTAATTTTAGGCTTGAAAACAAGAAGAGTATGATTACGTTCCAAGGTGATTTTGCCACTCAATAATTCTAATGAGAACTAATTTTATTGAAAAGAACACGTGAAAACACGATCACAACAATGATTTATGTCTTAATTGCATTTGAAAGCAATAACATGCGCGTGATCGAGAAATAGTGAAAATGATAAAGATGTGGAATCTGATGATAAGAGAGTGCCAGAGGAGGACATGGAAGTAACGCTTTAGAGATCTCTGATAATATTAACGCCTGCAATAGAAGGTGTTATTGCTGTTTCACTTTGATTTCATAGGAACCGAACAGATGGCAAAACGAACAGAACAACATGAAATAGCAGGTTGTATTTCTTGTCTGTATCAAATAAGTGAGCATACCATGCGCTTGTCTCCAAAAAATGTTATTGGGAACAAAATATGGCTATTTAGCTTATTCACTAGAATTAGAAAATATTGAAAATAAAAACAACAGCTTTATTAGAACGGGCGCAAGACGATGAATATCATAAAACAGAGTGTTTGAAGACAAATAGAGGCAAGTTTGCTGCATTTATGATGTTTTGGGCGGAAATAAACAAACAATAACCTGGTGATTTCAGGTAATTTGACTATCTTTGATTCAAGTGCCTAAAAATCGATAAAATTCAGATAATTAGAGGAGATTTAACTATGAAGAATAAACATAAGCATAGAATGGTTGAAGTGAGATCAGCAAGAAGAATGATGGCTGAGGATAGCGATTGATAAAGATGAACAGAATTTTGGCTGTTTTCTAAGATGGCGATAAACCTCAAAATAAATATGGAATTTTGTGTCCGCTTGTTAATATTGCTGTTATAGCGTTGTCCACAAACTCTTGCAACAAGAATTTAAATCATTTTTGGAAATTAGTCCCTATCTGTTCAACCATCAAACCATTTGAGTTCAAATAAAAAGAAGCAGTAAAGAGCAACGTAAAAAGTGTATCCTATAGCATAATAGCCGTAAAAACGGTATACCAAGAAGTTTATGGCTGTCCACAAACTTTTGCAACGGAGCATATTTATATATTCTTTATTATTAAGAAAATATGCTAGAAACAATTAATATGTGTTGTCAAATTAAATATGTTTTACAAAACATTTCAATGTTCAACTCCTCAATAGTGAATAAGCAAACATTATAACAACCATGATCTTATTTGATGTATATGTCGTGATAAATGCCGCCATATATAATTTAAAAAATATCTTACTAAAATATTAGTACGTAAATTGTTATATTGTGAGATAATCACCCAATTCAAATGTGCATAGTTTATTAAAAATAGTTGATATCATTATGGCTTTTTATTATATTCTAGAATGTCGATTGAATAAAAGCATGTCATTATATTATTGTTAGAAATATACCTAACAATATATTACAAATAATTATTTCATAAATTCCGTCTTCTCACGTAGTTTGACTAGAAATTATCGTAATAATATAAATATTTAAAGATATAAATTTAATTAGAATTTAGCACACAAGGAATGTTGTCAATAACAACAATAAAACATGCATATAAACAATAAAAACGATTTGTTTATAAAAACCCATATTACATCAATTGATTTATAATGGCAAATGTTCAAATATGATTTCAGATTTAAACACAAATTACTACTTTGCTTATATAAAGTATTCATAAAGGGAAGATGTAACCAAATATAAACAATGTTGAATTATACCATTACTTTACAAAAAGGATTTCTTATACAGCATAACTGTTTAAACAAAAAACTAACAGAATATCATTGATTTTAACAAAGAACATCAAAAGGTTTAATACCACTGTAAAAATTGATTGTATACTAACATTAATTAATTGTTCTTCTAGAAGTATGAAGAGACCTAAACAAAAAAAAGATAACAGAAAGAGATGCGCAGATTTATATAAATAATGCGTGTATAGATTAATTTTTTATACAATAAAAAGAAAAGACAAACTCAAAAATGTAATAATTAAATGTCTAAATTTCACATATCAATGTTCAATATGATTATAAAATATTTGCATTTTAATCTTAAAATATATAGTATGCATGTTATACAATATATTAACTCTATGAAATAAATATATATAAATTCATAGAATGTATTCAAAAAGATATATGTTTATGTAAAACACTTCGTATTGTTATATAGTTTCATCGTGTTTTATACACGCAATATATATGATATAGCTAAAATAAAGCGTTATATCAATATAGAGATGTGTTATAATTTATTTGTTAAATAATTGTTTAAATAACTACATATATAATTTATGGGGCTATGATAAATGATATTGTGTATTTAACGATGTCATATAAGCAAAACAATTGTTACCTTAAAATCACTATTTTAATGGTTTGATTGCTTGAATCAACAATGCTAGTTACTAAACATTTAGTTAATGATAATCACAATTTTGTACTTTTGAATCTTATATATCATTTTGTTCTTCTCAACACTTAACCCTTTCATATATACAATATTTTAATGAAATTATAGAATCAAATAATAATTATTTAAAACATAACACTAGTTCAAAACATAACAAAATATGTTAAACTGTATTTGGTGAAAAATAGACACTTACTTACACATAAATTTTTATAAATGACCCAATTTTCTTATTCAAAAAATAATCAATCATATTTACATATAAGATGCGAAAAACAAACTGTATTTATAATTTAAGAGGTTTTTTGCATAACAAAGTTAACATTAGATTAGAAAATACACAACGATATAATATAATTGTTACCATAGGGCTTTATTGATTAATGATTCAGAAATAACTTTACATATGTAATAATGCTGAATTATTGGTTTTGAATGTTTTTATCAAAGAGATGAGTACAAAGACATTATTGTATGTAATTTAATAAAAACTATCTCAGATGCCATCATTTTGATTATTCGTCTTGAGGCATTTCAACGTGGAAAGGACAAATGGTTTATAAGTAAATAATGTTTGTCAACACTACCAATTCTGCATAAATCAAGTCAGATAACCTAAAAGGAACATAGTCAGTGTAGAAAACCTGAGTATTAAAGTTTTGGGCATAGCAATTTTGTCTGAAATATTGGAGCATTGTCTTGTAAGGTATCATTATGATCAATAAAAGTATTATATCTAAGTAACTTGTCTTGTATCGAATCTCTTTATCTCTGCAATGAAGAGCCTTTTTATTCTTAATTGAACGGTCAAGCAAAGATTAAGAAATTCTTACAGGTTCTTGAAAAGGCTTATTCAGAATATTATCGCATCTCAACTAATTAGTATATTTTATAATTTTTATTTTGAACTTTTAGGAACTTTTTGCAACAAACTATCTACAACTAAAATTTTATATATGTTATAAGCATTTTATAAAACTAAAATTTGTAATTGCTAATGTTCTATGTATTTGCTTTTACTATTTGTATTAATTTTTATTGAAGCATTGTTACTCTTAGGATTATATTAACCACTAGGAGTTTAATATTTTACTCGAATAATTACAATATAACATTCTTCATAATTTTTTTAATACCACAGATCTTAAAATAAAAACGTATAATTTTCAAAAATGGTATATACACATTCTAACTGTATATAAAGCACTTTTAAGTAACGATTATTTATTTAAACTTTATTTAACTCTAATAGATATTTTAAAACATCATTTGATTATAAATTTTAGTTAATAGATTTTTGTATTTTGAGGCATATCACAACACAATATACCCAAAATTACATTAAACATTTAATTCTCTTAGTAGGTTATAGAGAACAAAACGTTAATGTAAAAGGTTAAAATGCGAATGTTCTTATTATTTAAAATAGTAATTATATGATTATCAAACGTTGAAATAAATCTTCATGCATATTATACAATTTTTTATTTATGTTTCATATATGTATTTTAAATCACCACGTTTACATTTTTGGATATCAAATCTGATTTAAAAATATTTTAAATCTTGATCAAAGTGAAAACCTTTTTGGTTCTTATCATATTATATAAGAGTATGAAAAGTTGCTTGTGCTCTTTAAAATGTGAGTTGAATTAGAAAGGATTGTTTTAAATGATAAACAACCTCACAAACAATAGAGAATATGAGTATGAAAGTGAACACACTGGTAATGCTTTTTCCTTATCATACTATTTACAAGTATGGACTAGATCACATTATATTTTAAAATACTGGAGTATAAAATTATATAACATCCTGGATTTTTTTAACATTTACAAATAAATATCTATTTATTTGATCCATTAAACATTCTAAAATGCATAAAGTTTAGAACTTAATAAATTTTGTGTATAGTTAATATAAGACAAATTTAATATAACACGGTTATCTGGTGCTTTAGTATTATGTGTTTAAATTGAATTTTGGTGTTATTTAGTTGATTCGCTGTAATGTTCTTATTTGTAATAAATGTTTTGTTTTAAATAAGTTGTTTTCATTTGTATTTGATTGAAATTTATACAAATGTTGTCCTTGGTTACCAATACTTTCTTTATATTGCACTTAGCAAATTATTTATAAATTATTTAGCTTTAAAAAGCATTTGATCTGCTGTTTTATTAAGCAAATGGTATTTAACTCGGCTACCCTATATTATTGAGTTATAATATCTTAACTCATTAAATTATCAAGTTAAATAAGAGGTGTCAAATAGTTACATTCATTAATTTAATGTACTTTGAAATAGAAACAACTAAGGTTATTTTGTTATATACACTTGCTTTATAGACAAGAACTAAAATGTTTTTATTATAGATGTTAAAAACTAAGAGCATACTTGTGTATTTTCAAGTACCACAATTAAAATATTTATTTCTTCAATAAAAACTAAACAATCAATACGATGAAAAGTGTCGTTGTAAGTAAAAGTAAATTCATCCGTTAAAATCAGAGGTGGTTACTGATCTTCAGCTAGCAAGTTACTTTTAAAACACCAAACTAAATAATGTATCAACTAAACATGCAAATCTTTTGTTTGTTTATAAATGTTTAAATATACAATATTTTGAAAGGTGTCACAATGGATAAAAAAACTTGTTACAATATCGATTTAGTTTGCAACCTAGTAAAATCCCGCTGATAACAAGACCAAACTATTCTTCTCTCTATTAGGTTCGTGTACAAAAACCATATAATTTGCCTAAACTACTTTCATTATCAACATATAGAATCCACCAATTTAACTAAATCTACAACTTAAACTTTTATGTCTGTATGCTTTATGCGATTTGATTTCTTTTTATTAATGTTAAATTTATTATTATATATTTATTTAAGTTGCTTTGAAGATATATTTAAAAGAACGTTCTATATATTGTATGTGGTTGGCTATCCCTGTATGCTTATTATTTAGATGTGTTCTGTGCAACGATTTTTTGAGTAATTTAACATGGTCTTTTACTCTCTGCATCTTAAAAATGGGTAAGTTTTTAGGGAAATAAAATCCTTTTCGTTAGTAGTGAACCTAACACACATATTACAACTATTTGTATGGAGATTAATTAAAACTGTTTTTGATGCATTTGTAAAGAATTGCATTTTGCATTATACCATTGTTATTATCAAAAATTTAAATATGAAATCCATTATAGACATCGTTTTTCAAGAATATACGCAGACAAGATCTTACACGAAATTAATTTTGTCAAAACCATTATTATAATAAACTATGAATACTATTATCATAAAATACAGTCGGGTTATAATTTTCAATATCAATAGGTTTCTATTTGCAAATTAAATTTGACTATTAGCATTTATGACTATAGTGAAAAATTCCATCCAAAATCATATTCAAAACAACTTGTGATTAATATTATTGTAATTATATAAATTATAAACTTTAGTGTAACTTGGAGACTGTTTTCTGAAAGTTTTTAATTATAAAATTGTTATCCGTTACAAGGTATCTTTAAAATTATACAACATTTTTCTAGTTACCTTACATATATAGCGAATACTATGTTGTGTTCTTATATGAACACATAGGCTTTAAACCAAAAATATTTTAGTTTTCTTTCTTTAACTATTATGTACTCTTTTACATATAAACTGCATGTTTATATTATTATTTTAATATAGCATAGCAAATATTTAGTACACAATTTCTGATGATTATATTAAAAAAACAATATAATCATCATATAAACAATGATAAAATTGGAAGAAAATTTATAAAAAATTATATGTGTTTGTAACTCTTAAATACAGAAATATAAACGATTTTAGATGATTTGTATGGTGTAACATAGTTATTATCATCATGTTTTAACATCCAGTAATGTGCTGTTATTAAGATATACATTTGTTTTGCTATGATTCAAAGCATTTATTATTGAACAAATTATTAAGTAAGTATGGTTTAAACCATTTAAGGTTAATGTAAATTTCTATTTCTATTTCATTTAAATAACAAAAATATACATAGGCAGAAAAAATTAACAATGTATTTGAAATTAATTTTGTAAACATATTTATTCAGTTTAGGTCTAACCAAAAAAATCAAGTTGACTAAATATACAAAAGTTGAATAGATCTGATTCAACTTAAACACTAAAAACAAATTTTTTGATTCATTTATTCTTTATAAGTGGTGTTCTCACTTTAATGAAAGTATGAATTTGATAAATATTATCTTATACCTTAAGAACATATCATAAAATTTCATGATAAGAGTTTTAATGTCTCATATCTGCTTTTGGGTAAGAATGTCTAAAAACATCCGTAAATTAGCTATGCTTGATCAGATTTGGTATATTACTTCATGACAATCTGTTTCACCTGTTTTTTATCCACTTAACCAAACACGGTATATAATGCAAATATTTCCATAACGGTTTTCTCAAACCCTAACAATCTAATATCATTACTGGGTTAGATGTAACACACACAGTTATATCAACACATTCCACAACCATCTTCCTTCCAATAACATACGTATCTTCTATTTTTGTTGTTCTTACTCATTCTTCTAAATCAGGGTTATGTTATTTTATGCACAGTGTTTATTTACTATTGCTTTAAATAAATTCAAAATAAACAACCCATGGTTAAGGAACTACCACCGCGCAAGCACAACAAGATCGTAACATGGGCCGATCCGATTGCTGAGACCAGGTTGTTTGTGAAAGAACCGTCATCTGAAGACATGCGTGACATACCCGAGGACAGCGAGTATTATGCATATGATGACAGTGAGGAATATGACACAGATGACGTGTTAGAAAATGGAGGGATAAACCAGGGTTCAGGGGTGGCCCAGGTTACTAAGGAAATTGTTCAGGAAGAAGAGGAGCAGAATATTGATCAGGAGGCAGAAGAGGCATTTAATGAGAGCAATCTTGCACTCTACTACGTGCTCATAAAAAACAGAGTTCAACTCAAAGTTCTCGAACAGAACCTTGAAGAGACTAAAGAGAGTCTCAGAACGGCACTTGTTGCACACGATGAGCTAAAAGCAGATATTGATAAGAAGAGCATGCTGCTAAAAGAGTGTACTACTGAATCAGAGAGAAACAGACTGATGTACGTGAAAGCATATGAAACAGTATCTGAACTTACGAAATATATTCAGGTGAGAGAGCTGGCCAAAGCCGAGGACAGGGTGAATCCCGGCATGTCAAATGAGCCAGTGACTCCTCCTAAGAAAAGTATGTCAGAAAGAACAAAAAAGAAGATCAAATATTACATCACAAAGGCGATTAAGAAATGTGGTACAAAACCAGTCCGTGTTACCATACATAGGCGAAATAAGGCGCCTTGTGTGCTGATGCTAACACGAAATGAAGAAAACAANATATGAAACAGTATCTGAACTTACGAAATATATTCAGGTGAGAGAGCTGGCCAAAGCCGAGGACAGGGTGAATCCCGGCATGTCAAATGAGCCAGTGACTCCTCCTAAGAAAAGTATGTCAGAAAGAACAAAAAAGAAGATCAAATATTACATCACAAAGGCGATTAAGAAATGTGGTACAAAACCAGTCCGTGTTACCATACATAGGCGAAATAAGGCGCCTTGTGTGCTGATGCTAACACGAAATGAAGAAAACAAGATACAAACGCAGGTGATACAAACATGTTGAACATATTGATCACATCCCCAAATATCCTCCAACACCTCTCTATTCCATTAAACTGTCCAGATTTATCTAAAATATTTTGATTATTACTTGAATATTTCATCCGTTTACTTAATTATACTTGCAATAATATTTTATTTACAATTTATCCACAGAAGTCTCCTAAAATGCATCCAAAGTATCTTCTAAACCACGACCTATTTTCTGGCTGTGGTACTCTCTGAGATCTATCCAAAACATTCTCTGATATTATGTTACCATCTGATGAAGTAATTACTATTTTCCTAGTCTTATTCTCCACTGCCCATGTTTTGATATGAGTCTCTTTTGATTGTTCAACTATTTCATTCTCACCTGACATTCTTTCTGATCCAACATATGAAGATGACTCTGTATTTTGATCAATGGATTTGTTGCACCTATTCAAATCCATTGATTCCTTCACTGTTTCTGGTTTATCACCTGATACATCCCCCTTTGTATCATGTGAATCCATAACAGCCGTATTATTAATATTAAATACTTTGTCAAATTCAGTTGCCGAATATGAATTGGATTCGTGTTCTGAGACACATTTCAATTCAACTTGTTCAGGTTCCATTACATCTTCAACAGTGATTGTTTCACAGCTTTCATTGGATTTGCTACTGTCGCCCATTACAGTAACATTCTTAACAGCCGTTACGATTTCACTAATTCCGCTACCATCAGAAATAGCAAATTGAATACTGCTACTACCGGATTCAAGAGTATCACTCTCCTTATCACTATTCTCTGCAGCTATCTCTTCTGCCAAATCACTAATATCAGTTGTTCCAAAACTATCAGAAACACCAAGGTTAATACTCAGTTGAGAATCACCAGACTCACTAACAGTACTCTCATTCATACTGCTACTAATGAGATCATTACATACATCACTGACTACCTCTCTATAGTCAGCTGATGTCAGGTGTGACTGATCTGTATCATCCCCCTGTAATTCTACTTTCATCTCAGACTCAGTGGGTTCAATCCCAGGGGATGAACTTTTTATCCCTCCTTCTTCTGACTCATGCGCAGTAAACTCTGCATTGATACCGCTAAAGAACTCGATTAATCGTCCTACACGTCCTTTCTCACACAGACTCGGGTCATCCAAGTGCACCTCAACACTGTCACGTTCCAAACTCTCCTCACTCCTGGAATGCTCTACCGTCTTCTTGTTCTGACTCGATGAGCTCGCTGGAATGTAACTGAAACACATGGGGTATCTTTTTCGTTTATTTATATACTACTTATCGCATAATATCATGCATGGAGATGTTTTATGATACTATTTACCTGAAAATATTTTAATATTTGATAAGGATATTAAAAGAGTATTTAGGTGTTTGAAATATGTGTGAGTGTGTTGAATACAGTGATAATGGTGTGATATGTAGATACTTGTATACATAAAAGCATATTTGTAAAGCATTGGAAAGATAAGAATGCAACCTGTCAATATGATTTATAAGGTTGTAATGTGCTGGAAACAGCTATACATACTTAAAATAGTAGTATGATGGACTATCTAGTATTATTTCTCTCTCTATTTTCTATACGAACAAAATTGCTATGGACCTTTTCAAAACAAACTATTTTTGCCTGATTTGGTAACGTGTGGTACAATTACGTCAGGATGTAAATAAACAACCTGTATCTATTCAAAGAGACCAACAACACCACCATATCGTTATATACTGATATTCTAGTATCCTAACTGAATTAACGAGGCACATTAGATCCTGCAATACTATCAAAATCCACCATAAACAATCAATATTGATGTTGTACTTGTTCAAATATGTTTGAATGCGTATGATGATATATAAAGCCGCTATCCATACACCATATTGATGTATATCCTCCTAACGTGTCTATAAATGGAGCAACTTACAAACACATGATAAAATCACAATCAATAACTGATACAACTTCATTTTTATTCCCATTTCGTACCAATCAAGTTGAATATTAGCAACACTAACAGATATAGATCACTTAACACGTTAAACCAACTCAAAAAGCAGCAATCTACAACAAATCAATCTAACAACCACACATACACTCTTTCCCCATTCTCCTTCATTCGTCAAATGGTGGTATCCCAAACCTCCTTTTGATCTTTATTCTGTACACACTGTTCTTGTCCTCAACACTGAACTTTGCTGGAACTGCCACGGTTGTATTCTCCTGACTCAGCGTATAAATCTTCTTTCCATTTTCATCAAGCCTGTAGTAAATCATCAGGGTAAATTTTGTTTCAAATCTATAAATCTAAATCAATCCATTTATAACGTATCAAAATACGAATCAGCATCCAGCTTCGTGTTGATCTTCTTGTACTCTCGTACTTCTGCCACGGTCTTAGCCATCACCGACTCAGTTGCTTCCAAACTTCCTGGACACTCCGCATAGTGGTCGAATGAGAGAGAGAAGACGCTGAATCCCCTCGACTTCTCCCTCAGTGACTTGTTCAGCCCAAACGACGCCTGAACCGGCAAGAACGCCTTAAATGTCTTGTAGTTGTTTTCTAGTTCGAACTCGTCCACATATCCGCGTCTTTTGGTGATGACTCTCTCGCAGAGTGTTGCAAACTCCTCTGGGACTGTGACGGTGCAGAGAAACATCGGCTCATACAAAATTGGCACTGCCTTCAACACAAGTCCCCTAATGGCCTGCTCCACTGGCCTGACCATCTGGTTTGCACCCCTGTGAATTGCGTCAGAGTGCAACACCACGTCAGTGAGGTTGAATCTGCACCCTTTCACTGGCTCCCCAATCAGGGGCCCTTCCTTCGTTCCCAGTTTCATTCCCTCGTAAATGTGGTCTTTCACCTCGTTCAGGTACTGAATTCCCTTTGAGTGGTCGACCATCATGTTCATTGGCTCCACTTCTGGTGCAAAGAACATGATCTTCTTGACCCAGTCGTCGTCGATGTTGAGCACCTCCCTGAATCGCTGATTCCTCAGCTTTGGATCCTTCACGTTGACCTGCTCTACGTTTGCAATGATCCTCTCGTCCAGTGGCTCACACGTCATGTAGATTCTGTTGTGCTTGTTCGCTGACTTCGTCATAATCGGCTTCTCTACTTCGCCACAGAATCCCTCGTAGTACTTCACCTGTGGCTTCTCTACGGTGAATTCGCATTTTGCATAGAATTCACCCAAATCGTGCAAAATGATCTCCAAATGCAGTTCACCAGCACATGCGATGGTGGCCTGCCCCTTGTCGTTGTATTCGATGACACAAAGTGGATCAGATTTGCCCAGCTTCTCCAGTCCCTCCTTGAAGTGACTCAAATCCTGCGACCTCTTCGGTGCCACCGCCACCTTCACGACCGGACTCACCGAGAACTTCATCGTTTTGATGTTGTATCCGTGTTTTACGGTCGTAATCGTCCCAGTCTTCTTCAGAAAGCCCTCTACTCCAACCAGTCCCACGATGTTACCGGCTGGACAGTTTGGAATGGCAGTGGACGACCTCCCCATCATCACGCAGACCTTGGCAATGGTCTTCTGAGTCACATTCGGGTTCTTCTTGCTCTCTGGATCAGGAAGGTAGTTTGGATTCTGAACATAAACCTTCATTCCTGGCTTAATGTTTCCAGATAGAACACGGCCAACTGCTACGAATCCATTCGATGCATCTGGCACCATTTTGGAGATGTAGATCGTGACTGGTGCATCGTCAGTTCCAACACAGTTCTTGATTGCCTGATGGGTCTCATCGCCCTGTGGCCCGGTGTAGAGGTAGTCAGCCCTGATATTCTGGGCTGCATGTGGATTTGGCAGTTTCAGGACAATCTGCTCAAGCAGACACTCTGCTGCGGGCAGCCACGCCTTGAAGACGGCCGCAAAGAGGTTCTTTCCCTTTGGCTTTGCCTCCAAGTTCGCCTTTGAGAAGTCAATTCCAAACTGCTTCAAATACGCCTTGATTTCGCCAATCTTTCCATCAAAGCACCAGTCTTTCACCTTGTAAATTGGTCCCAGAACAAACATCTCAAATGGCGCCTTCTTCCCCTTTGGAATCTCTCCGCCCACAATCTTCTCAAACTTGTAGTCAGAAGCAAATTCGTCGTCGAAGTCGCAGTAGTGTTTCACAGACCAAAGCACCTTCGCAAACGCCTTCTCCTTGTCGAACGTGTGCGTTCCCTTGTGTTTCAGGTAGAATCTCGCAAACTTGTTTAGGGTGAATCCCCATCCCTGAAGCCCTGAGCAAAACGAGATCTCGTTCTCCTTAGGGCTGATTGACTTGATGTAGTCTCGTTCCCCAAGAATGCTCTCCATCTTGGCATTGAACATCTCAACTCGCTTCTTCAGCACCTCGTACAGCTCCCGCTCGCCGTATCCCAGCTCGAGGATCGCTCGATCCAACTTGTTCAGAACAAGGGTCGGAATTATCTTCTCGTCGATCGCCTGTCTCAGCACCGTCTCAGTCTGCACGCAGATGCCGTCGATGCTGTCGACGACGACCAGGGCGCCGTCCGTGACACGAAGGGCGGCCGTGACCTCAGACGAGAAGTCGACGTGCCCAGGCGAGTCGATGAGGTTGATCAGAAACTCCCTTCCTTCGTAGCTCTCCTTCTTCGCATAGGCCTCCAGAATCTCCTGCTCGACGCTGAAGCTCATCGACACCGCAGTCGACTTGATCGTGATGCCTCGCTCCTGCTCGTCCTTCCTCGTGTCCATGTATCGCTCACCTTGCGCCTCCTTCGACGCAATTCGCGCCTTGATCAGGAGACAGTCCGTCAGGGTGCTCTTTCCGTGGTCAACGTGTGCGATGACTGAGATGTTTCGGATGTTCTTCGTGTTTTTCATCAGTTCGTGAATCTTTTCTGTCTGATAATCCACCATGTGGGTAAAAATTTGATAAAAATGCTAATACGACTGAATTAGTCAGACAGTGACGATAGGCACCACTGTCTTCTAACCAGTTTCTGATCAGTTTCTGATCAGTATGCCAGTTATGAGTACTCATACCATACGATGGGTAATAATCACCAATTTTATATCACTAATCAGAGAAGAGACGCAAGTTGAACCCATTGAATGAAGATGGGTGAGAAAGAGAGTACGAAGATGAAATCAGGTCTAACTCACCAGGAGAAGATGGCCGTGTACCACAACAGGATGCCCAAGAACTACGTTGAAATCTCTCACAGAAATTCAAAACTGCTTTTTGAATCAGAAATTGGTCAAAATGAGCCAATCTTCATCTTTGACATGGATGGAGTCGTCTACAACAGCCCTGAGCTCTTCAAGGACACAACAGCCCGTTCCATCTCCAAATTCATCGCCCTAACCAACCGCCCTGAAGGCGACTACTGGAATTTGTTGAAGAAGTACGGTCACAGACGGACCATTTTCACGAAGGAGCTGAATGTGACTGGACGTGAGATCTGCTGCGACCTCGAGTCGCCTGACTTCAGCAGAATGCTGAAGAAGGACGCTGCTCTGATCCACCGGTTCTCCACCATCCCCTATCGCACATTTCTGTTCACGAATGCCCTGAAGTGCAAGACGCAACAGGTTCTTGACCTGGTTGGACTCGAGGACTCCTTCCAGCGGGTATTCTGCATTGGAATGGAAGACAGTAGCACATTCATGAAGCCGAACATCGATGGATTCAGGTTCATTGAGCGGTATCTTGGGATCACCAACCCAGGTCAGATCCACTTCTTTGATGACAAGGCTGAGAACATCAAAGGAGCCAAGGATGCTGGNTTCAGCAGAATGCTGAAGAAGGACGCTGCTCTGATCCACCGGTTCTCCACCATCCCCTATCGCACATTTCTGTTCACGAATGCCCTGAAGTGCAAGACGCAACAGGTTCTTGACCTGGTTGGACTCGAGGACTCCTTCCAGCGGGTATTCTGCATTGGAATGGAAGACAGTAGCACATTCATGAAGCCGAACATCGATGGATTCAGGTTCATTGAGCGGTATCTTGGGATCACCAACCCAGGTCAGATCCACTTCTTTGATGACAAGGCTGAGAACATCAAAGGAGCCAAGGATGCTGGATGGAACGGCCATTTGGTAGCCAATGACACGATTTCACAGATTGATGAAGCAGTGAGTAGTAGTTGTAGTAGTAATTAGTGTAGTAATTGTAGTAATTATAGTAGCAACCTACCACCCTAACTACCTATTATAACTACCACCCTAACTACCTACTACAACCCACCACCCTAACTACCTACTATAATACTACCACCCTAACTATCACCCTAACTATTTTCTGTTTGTTTCACCCATGTCAATGAAAACAACCGAAGTTGATTTCTCCACATTTTCTGGCCTGGACGTCGACTTCTTTGGAAAGTGCGCAGTTGCCTCATCGGCAGACGGAGTCGTGCGAATCCTGACCGTAGCAGACGGGAGACTGTCGCAGAGGGAGGAGCTCCGTTGCCACGGTGGCCCAGTCACAGCAGCCAAATTTGCTGAAGAGGGAACTGCGATATTCAGCGCCGACTTCACCGGTCTCCTGGTCCAGTGGTCGAAGCAGGGCGGATTGTTCCAGAAGAAGTCNAACTATTTTCTGTTTGTTTCACCCATGTCAATGAAAACAACCGAAGTTGATTTCTCCACATTTTCTGGCCTGGACGTCGACTTCTTTGGAAAGTGCGCAGTTGCCTCATCGGCAGACGGAGTCGTGCGAATCCTGACCGTAGCAGACGGGAGACTGTCGCAGAGGGAGGAGCTCCGTTGCCACGGTGGCCCAGTCACAGCAGCCAAATTTGCTGAAGAGGGAACTGCGATATTCAGCGCCGACTTCACCGGTCTCCTGGTCCAGTGGTCGAAGCAGGGCGGATTGTTCCAGAAGAAGTCGGAGAGACGCGTTGCGAATGGCCCCGTCTACGACCTGGCCGTGACCACGCACATTTCGGGCGTAGTCTCCGTCTCGTGCGCCTGTGACGGTGGCAAAGTGATCAAAGTCGAGTTCACGAATGGGACTGAAACGAGGGTGGAGGAGGCCGTGGTTGGGGAGAGCAGCGTCCTCTGCGTCGACAGCAGCCTCGAGGCGGTGGTTGCGTCCGACCACGACGGCCGCGTCCACCTGATCGAGCAGGTCGGCGACTCGTTTGGCGACTCGCGTGAGATCTACGCCGCTGATTGCGAGATCACTGCTGTCAAAATGAGCAAAAAGAGCTGTTTCGATAGGACATTTGTGGCAGTTGGAACTGAGACAGGGGTGGTTGTGCTGGAGAAGCGAGACGGCCACTTTGTTGAAAATGGATCATTTCCGCTCTCTGGTGCCGTAGGCTCTCTCGCCTGGGCAGTAGGTGGATTCTCGCTCTCTGTCGTCTACGACTGTGATAAGTTAAAGGTGTACGAGATATCAGAAAGTGGCACATTTGAGGAGAATGATGGGGTGGTAGTGGTAGGTAGTAATAGTANGATCTACGCCGCTGATTGCGAGATCACTGCTGTCAAAATGAGCAAAAAGAGCTGTTTCGATAGGACATTTGTGGCAGTTGGAACTGAGACAGGGGTGGTTGTGCTGGAGAAGCGAGACGGCCACTTTGTTGAAAATGGATCATTTCCGCTCTCTGGTGCCGTAGGCTCTCTCGCCTGGGCAGTAGGTGGATTCTCGCTCTCTGTCGTCTACGACTGTGATAAGTTAAAGGTGTACGAGATATCAGAAAGTGGCACATTTGAGGAGAATGATGGGGTGGTAGTGGTAGGTAGTAATAGTAATAGTAGGTAGTGGTAATAACAGTAGTATAATAGTATGGTAATAATTGTAGTATAATAACAGTAGTATAATAATTGTAGTAATAATACTAGTTAGTGTTACTAGTTAGTACACTACCACCACACTATATAGTGAAACTCTGGTGAAACTGTGTTTTAGATTTGTTTAATAAAATTCCTGATATTTTTCTGGTATGAATTCAGAGCACTTTATGCACATTGGACTGTGCTTGCTGCTTCTGGCACGCGCGGACAACGAGTCGGTCGCAGCTGGAAACCTGAGCACTGGTGGAACAACCGATGGCCGTGGGAACCTGATTGGGGCGAAGTCGATCTACCACGATGACGGTCGATTCCACCAGAATCTCGATATTCTGAAGGGTGCGTTTGACAGGAGCTTCTCTGGGCAGGACGATCATGGAGCTGATCCAGCGGTTCATCCTGACGCCAGTTGAAGGAAGGACGCTGCAGGAGAACGCACAGGAGCACGGCCACCGTGAGCCACACACGCACTTCCAGGAGCATTTTGAATACGAACCATTTCCAAGCAGGGATGGGGATGGTAGTAATGAAAATAGGGAAGAACTAACTGAAACAGGTGAGTTAGGTGAATTGGGTGAGTCAGGTAGGTCAGATGAATTGGGTGAATATGGTACTACTCATTCTACTACCCATTCTACCACTCACAACCACCCTATACACCCCCTTGAAGAGAGTCACCGTATTCCAGCTGGATCAAACACGTCATTGAACAGTGGCCAGAAGACTGGTCCAGTTGCACCAGATGCGCCATTTACGAAGAAGGTCGATGGAAAAGAGAGACCTGGTCCAACTGAGGAAGACCACGAGAAGAAGGCAGAGCAGATGGGGAAGATGGACGAGTTCGTGACTGGAATGGGACAGGGCGCCTACGACAGGTCGATGGAGCGTGGGCTGCTTCCTGAGGAGGCTGAAGCAAACAGGGCGGCTGCTCAGTCGTACGCCAGGGCGTACGAGGAGTACAAGATGGACGGACTGAGCCCAGAGGAGGCGGACCAGAGAGCACGGTCGATATTCAAGGACATGAATTCGATAGCACCAAACGGGGCTGACTTGTTCAGTGACCTGAATACGCTTACGATCATAAACGAGTCGAGGGAGTCAGTTCCATCTGGGACACTTGGGGAGAGGTATCCAAGTGCGATGCTGGAGAGCGAGGCTGCGCATGCGAGGGACCGAGAGGTGAAGGAGGTCGAGAAGAGGAAGGACGCGGCCAACCTGGTTTCACACGCATTGGAGCGAGACGGCGCCCTGAAGAATCGGATTCAGGAGGAGATGGCTGCGGTGGTGGAGAAGCTGAGGGCGCTGAGGCGGATGAAGGCGGACACGATCGAGTCGCGGGTGGACTCGAACAACAACTCGCCTGGTGAGATCGAGGATCCGGCCGTGAAGGAGAGGCTGAAGACGGTGAGAGAGACGTACGGGCAGATGGTGGCTGAGTCACAGGCGCCGCCTCGAAGGAGGAGTCTGAAGGACCTGACGATGCAGAACGAGAAGGACGAGAAGATGGCGGAGGAGAACAGGCGCGTCTACACGGAGCACGTGGAGGGGCGAAGGGCGGCAGCAGCTGCGCAGGAGCAGCGGGCGGCCGAGACGGCCGAGCGGATCGAGAAGGAGGAGGCCGTGGAGAGGGCGATTCCCGGTGGCTACGACAACGAGGCGGTGAACAGGACACTTTCTGAGTCGGCTGAGCAGAAGGCGAATGAGCAGGCTGAGGCGCAGGAGCAGATTGACGAGGTTGTTGCGACTGCTGGAGAGACGGCCTACCAGAACGTGATGTCACTGGGTGGAAGTGTCGAGGAGGCAGAGAAGTCGCAGACCGAGGCAGCGAGGCTGAAGACCGATCAGATCAAGGAGGAGATGGATCAGAGGGTGGATGAGATCAAGGAGCAACTTGGGGAGCAGATGGATCCACAGACAGCCGAATCAATGGCAAGGCACATTGTGACAGTTCACGAACTGAAAGAGGTGTTGAAGACGATAGAGAGGGGGGGGTCAGTTGATACTAGTAGTAATACTATTAGTAGTAATAGTAATACTACTACCAATACTAGTAACACTACCAACATTACTAATAACGTGACTATTATCAGTGCTACGCCTGATGATGAGGGAACTGTTTCATTGGAGCATGTTGTGCTTACGCTACCACTTCCAGCAGATGCAGAGCCAACTCCACGAACAGAGGCAGACCAGCAGAACGAGGAGATCGTGGAAGAGAGGAGAGAGACGTACAGGAATACGCGGGTTGATACGGGTGGGAAGCCATTCTACACCGGTCTACCTGAATTAGTGGGAGAAGATGGGTCTACCACAATTCTGAGTGAGGGACTCCACAAAATAATAGTAGGAAAGGGGAGAATTGAGATGGACGAGAATACGGTGGAGCAGATGAGGAGCTTGGATCTGATGGAGAGAGATCGGCCCCAACTGTGACAGTGGGGGAGGAGACCATTTCACTGGGAGGCCACTCAGCCAAGGTGGTTGTGACTGAGGGAGCAGCAGATCAGACGCCGTTTTCAGAGCTACGAAACTACCAGAGACCAGTGGTGAAGAAGAATGCGGAGGCATCCGACCTGGACGACAATGATCCAGTTGAGGCGGAGCTGATTGAGGCGTACAAGGAGATTGACAGGAAACAGGGCGAGGCCGAGCAGATCAGGGTGGACGTGTTCAAGAACAGGGACAACGGCAGGACCATTGTGAAGCAGGAGCCACTCTACGGGACGACGCAGGTGCAGTCGATGGAGCAGGCGAAGAAGGAGGCGATTGGAAGAAGCAGCCTGAACGAGATTGCGACTGAGGAGAAGACGGTTGTCTTTGACATGCAGGAGCTGCCTGAGAAGAACAGCCCCGACGTGGGTGTCTTCCTGGCCGAGGCGGCGAAGTCGCTTGGGACTGCTGGGGTGGCCGAGAATAGGCCGTTTGTGCGAGTTGAGGAGAAGGGAGCCAGGGATACGCTTACGACGCATCTTCGAGTTCCAGAAACAACTGAAACAGCAATTCAGCAGGCAGTGAATAGGCAGGCAGCCTACGGAAACACGTCTAACAGGACTGAAACAGAGACAATGCGAATTGTAGGAAGACCAAGGAGTTCGAGCACGTCACAGACTACGACGACGACTCATTCGCCACTGAATTCGATGAATCCGGTGACTGGCGAGGTGAATAGCGAGATGGAGGCGCAGACTGGGCAGTTTAGCACGGTGAATACGATGATAGCAGACAGTCTGAGACCAGAGAGAAACGAGGCGGATAAGATCGTGAATGACCTGATGAGGTCGACGACTACGATTTCAGAGAGGACAGGGGTGCCAGTGATGGACCTGTTTGAGACGATCAGCCACATCAACACGCAGACGGTGGTGGAGCTGATTGACGGATTCAGGGAGCATAGGCCGCAGAAGCAGATCAACAGAATCATCGAGACAATCACGACGTACATGCCACCAGCGTACAGCGAGGAGATAACGACGTACATCGTGGACAGGGCAGCAGATGCAGCAGGGGTGCCATCGCCAAATGGGCAGATTGTGCACAAGGAGGCAGTTGGAAGGACAGCGACAGTCACAGGGCCAAATGGAGAGAAGCAGACAGTCACAGGGNCAGGGGTGCCAGTGATGGACCTGTTTGAGACGATCAGCCACATCAACACGCAGACGGTGGTGGAGCTGATTGACGGATTCAGGGAGCATAGGCCGCAGAAGCAGATCAACAGAATCATCGAGACAATCACGACGTACATGCCACCAGCGTACAGCGAGGAGATAACGACGTACATCGTGGACAGGGCAGCAGATGCAGCAGGGGTGCCATCGCCAAATGGGCAGATTGTGCACAAGGAGGCAGTTGGAAGGACAGCGACAGTCACAGGGCCAAATGGAGAGAAGCAGACAGTCACAGGGCCAAATGGAGAGAAGCAGACAGTCACAGGGGAGCCAGGAACAAGTCGGATTGTACAGAAAGTGAGGACAGATGGAGTACCAACTGTCACAGCACCATCATCAGAGCCAACACCACAGTTCAATGCAACCAATCCAAGGATAATGGAGCCACAGCCATTCACACCAAATCCAAACATAAACAGGAAACCAGGAGGAAGTGGTGGTAGTAGTCCACTAGGGGGAAATAATGGTAGTAGTCCACTAGGGGGAAATGGTAACACTAGTCCACTAGGAGGAAATAATCAGACAGGTGGAAATGGTAACAATCCACTAGGCGGAAATACTGGAAACACTGGAAACAATCAAACAAGTGGTAATCCACTAGGAGGATACAGTCCACTAGGAGGAAACAATTCCAATTCCAATTCCAACCCAACTGGATCAAACGGTGGAAACAGTTCCAATTCCAATCCAAATACAACCACTAACAATGACAACGACAACGACAATGCTGGAAGTGGTGAAATCCCACTCAACTACCTAGCACCATGATACAAAACACTCAATAAATCACTAATATAGATCAGTATAAAAGTATCCTATTTTACACCCATCTAGGATGCTATTCATCATTGGAACTGGACTGAATAACGCACGTGACCTATCACTGAATGGACTGGATCGACTGAAGAAGTGCGACAAAATCTATTTGGAGTGCTACACGTGCATCCAAAGGAGTGGATCAGACGAGTTGGAGAAGTTGATAGGCAAAGAAGTCATCAGGGCCAACAGGAGAATGGTGGAGGAGACCTCTGAAATAGTGGACGAGGCCAAGTCAAAGAGTGTCGCATTTCTGGTTGCTGGATCACCCCTCTTTGCCACAACACATGGAGACATCCTGGTACGGGCCAAGGAAGCAGGCGTGGAAACGAGGATACTCCACAACGTGTCGATTCTCTCTGTCGTAGGCTGCTACGGGCTGTGCTCGTACAACTTTGGTCGAACTGTCTCAGTCTGCTACTTCACTGAGACCTGGAAGCCAACTTCCTTCTACGACCGCATTTTGATGAACCAGAAGAGCGGTCTCCATACGCTGTGTCTCCTGGACATCAAAACAGATGAAAACAGGTTCATGACTGCGAATGAGGCACTGGAGCAGATGGTCTACGCAGAAAGCCAGTTGAAGTACGGGATTCTGGGGGAGGAGACGAGGCTGTTTGTGGTCTGCAGGTTTGCTACTGATTCTGAGTCAGTTTACTACGACACGCTTTCGAACCTGATTGGCCGTGACTTTGGGGAGCCACTTCATTCGATCATTTTCCCAGGTGAGTTATCGGTGGTAGAACAGGAATTTGTGGGGAAATTGAACAAGTGAATTATTGATGGATCATTAAAGTGAGACTGTCAACTACGTGTATTCTACCTCTAATTGCTCATCCATTACGTACGCCCTGATATTCTGCCTATAAAATGCACTGAATGCATCCACGTCCATTCCAATATCAACGAATATTGCGCCCATCAGTGCCTCGAAGGTGTCACCGTACGCCTTCTCTGACATCTGGGCCGTTCTGGTTGCCAATTTGTCAATTCCAAGTCTCTTGGTGATGTTTCCGAGACTGATATTGTTTACGTACGACTTCTTGTGGGAGTGGAGATCAATGGGTCTCCTGCATTCTGCCTTGAAGTAGCACATTTCAACCACCATCAGGTCCATCACTGAGTCACCGATGAGTTCGAGGAAGTTGAAGAAGGTCGATCCAAAGAGGCCGTTTGAGTTGCCAGAGTGGACGAGGACCTTTTCAAGGAGACCAGGGTTCGAGAAAGTGTAGTGGAACAGATCAGCAATTCGGGTGGACTGGTGATCAGTGAGGAGGCCGTGGTACGGGAAGAGGAGGAGATCGCTCTTGAACATGTTCAGGAGGTCGATGTTGATTTGTGTTCCATCAAAGAGGCCAATTTGAAGCAGAAATGAGAGGATGCCTTGTAGGACATCCTGGTACAAATTGGTTGATTTGACGTGGAGGATGGGACTGAAAATGGGTGGATTCTGCCTGAGATTGGATCCACTTCTCTGCAGGAAGATGGCGCCTATGACCGATTCAATGACGTCAGCGTGCATTTTGTTGATCTCACTTTCGTCCTGGATGAAGAGGCCGTCGTTCAGGATGACGCGGGTGTTGAAGTTGTTGGTGACTCCAAAATAGGCCATGTATTCCTGTGACTGTTGATGGGTCTCATTTTTATCAAGAAATGGCGCCTGAAACTCCTTCTTGGATCGATGGAGCTGGATGTAGCGGTGGATGTTGGATTCAACACATTTCTGGCTCAGAAAGGCGTTGGTGATGGTGGAGTCCTTGAACTCAATGCACTGTTTGAAGAGGTGTTTGGAGTCAATCTCATTTTTGGGGCTGATTTGGATCTTATTCAGGAGAGTGAAGCATGTGAGCAGGAACTTGAGGACGCAGTCGCCAAGGAACTCAAGGCACTCGTAGTTTGCATCGGGCTCGCTGCTCTTGGTCAGAGCACGGAGCATGAGGGACGTGTCGTCAATTCGGACATATTTGTCCATGAAGTCTTCAACCAGGTAGACAGACTGCAGGAAGTGGAAGTTGGGGACAAAGTGGCACATTTCAGCAACAATCTCCCTGCTGATTGGCGTAATGACGACCATTTCCTTGGGAAGGAGTCTGTGGCCTGATACTCCGAAATTTGTTTGTTGATTGCTTCCATTATGCTTAATTAGGCTACTGAGTTTTGTTCCAAGAAAGAGGTGTCTTCCACGCTTGTTCATCAGTTTCACACTGAGATATCGCTGGAAGTAGTCACAGAATGTCTCCTCTTCCGATACAATCTTCGACAGGTTTCTCACGTAGTCCCTGTGGAACTCACCTGAAATTTTGGATTCTAGGCAAATATCGATTTCACTGTGCCAAACCAGAAATGTCTTCGTCTTCACGTTCCAGAGCAGATTCGTCTTCACAAACTCCTCTACGCCGTCCTCCAAACACTCTGAACCTGCCAACTGGCCATCTGGCTCCTCATTCGTGAAGAGGCCGTTTATTGTGTTTGTTACACTATCATCCTTATTTATGCTTACTGTTCTATTTGATTCTGTTACTAAACTGATTTCATCCAATCCACTCTTATTATCATCAACAGTATCATCTACTTCCTTGTAGAGTGAATCCAACATGAAGTTGTCAAATATCTGATTCACGTACTCGAAATCAACCTGATTATCTTTGATTGGAACTGCGTAGTAGTGGAACTTCTTCACGCCTTCTTCAAGGGCTGTTTGAGATGTTCCAATATCCTTAAAAAAGATGTATTGGAAGATAGTGAGTAAGTGCACTTGATCTGGATCTAGTTTGATGCTATTTGAGAGTGAAACTACGCTATTGCTTCCATTGCTACACTCTCCTTCAAAGAATCCATTCGTCAATATCCCAACCTGACTGTTTTTGAATGCGTAAAGCGTGTATTCCTCTGTTTTGCTACAGAATGATTCAAACATGCTGTTGAATAGTGTCGTATACTGCTGTTCTTCTGCCTTTGCCCGTGTAACCATATCCCTTCTTGACCACAACTCGTCTACGTTGATTTGCTGCTTCTTCTCAAACTGTTTAAGACTCTTTTTTCTTAGTCCTTCGTAACTGAATCGAAGGAATCCTTTTTCCTCAAGCATCTTTTCCTTGAATCCTTCAATTGCTTCGTCTATGAATTTCGTCTTGATTCGTTGGATTTGTAGGTGGTCACACGTCTTATATTGCAGTTGAAGCAGAATGTCGATCTTCTCAAAGAGTGTCTCGTTGTATTCAGTGAGAAGGAATTCAACATTTTCAGCAGATTCAAGTGGGATCTTCTTGTGCGTAGCGTAGAGTTCAGCAAGTTGCGGTTGCATGTGCTGGTTTACAATCCTGTTTTCGTAGAAGAATTGCAGTATTTCAACAGCTGTCTGGTTTACACAGTCTTTCTTCTTGATGTGATGCTTTGACTCAAATCGCTTATCGAAGATGGATCCAACTGAGATTCGGCAGAAGTAGAAGTCAGATGCATTGAGAGGCTGGCCGTAGTAGGTGCCAGTGGTTCTGAACTCCTCCAAGTATTCAATTTGTTGGACATGAAATTCCAAGTTTCCCAGGTTCAATTTGAGTCCCTGAAGCACCTTCGTCAAAAGACCCTTGGAATAATTCATTGGGAAGAATGCACTTCCAATTCGCACTGTTTCGATTGTATCAAAATCACATTTCAGTTGCTGTATTTTGTCTGTGATCTGCACAAACTCACCAACTACAACATCCTGGTCACTTGTCTCATCCTCAATCTGCTCTTCCAGCTGATTCTGAATCTCCTCTACCACCTGATCATTGCATTCCAGAAATATTGGTTTCGTGTAGTCACTGTCTTCCAGGTATCTCTTGATTTGTCGTATTAGATCAGGTCTGTTTTCCAGGAACTCGATCATCGTGTCACTTGCTACTTCACTCGTCTTGATTGAGAGCCCTTCTATTTTCAGAAGCCTGTCTTCGATATTACAGTCTTCGTCGAAGAGATAGACCTTCTGAAACTCATTCAAATCCACATTTTCGTCGTAATCCACCACAAAACACGCGTATTCATCCTTCTTCTTCACATTTCTGAAGTTGGCTACGCCCAATGCCCTGGCAAATTCAGGCGTATTCGCCAAAATGCACGTTTTCGCTTTTCCGGTGGTTTCAAGCATCTTTTTGATGAATTTGTACTTCTTACTGTTGAAATAGAGCATCAATTTGTACTTATAATAGAACGAGTTGTACGTTGGAATGACGTCATCGCTGAGTACCAGCTCTTCGTTGACTATTCTCTTCACTCGCTTCCTTTTTCCAGTCAGGCCAAATGAAACCCGTTCAATTGGCTCATATTTTATACTCGAATTCATGTATTTTTCAACCTCGCTCATATCACCACGTGTAAGACAAACTAAGACCGTTTGAACACTCTCATTCTGTTCAAATGCTTCACTGACGTATATCAGCATCCTATCGTGCATCTCTGGATATTGATTTATGCAGAATAGAACATCTTCTCCCATTCTCAATAAATTGAACACAATTTTCTTGTACTCATCCAACTTGAGCATCCCGGTGTACGTCTGATGGACGAATCTGTGCACGTCGATGTAATCTACAGGCACCTTAACCGCACTGATGACCACCACATCCTCTTCATTCGTCAGCCTGTCATTTTTGTGAATGAAGCTCTCTGGAACTTTTATTATTTTCATAGGGCCGTTCTTCATATGAAAAATATAACATATCTGAAGTGCTCAGATACGTTTAACGTATCACATCAGCTAATAGTGCACCAATATGATCAAAATGAATCAAATCGTATTGAAAGGAAGTGCAATTTTAGATGCCCAGGGCAGAATGCCAGATATTCAGGAGCTAGCAGAGTATTTGAAGCAGAATAGGCTACTAGAAGGTAAGATAGAACACAGTGACCGTATTTTCAGAATATTCTGGCACATTGCTGGTGGAGAGTATGAAACAATAAGCAAAGCTGAACACGTGTACAAGGAAATAAAGAAAAAAAGAAGCAAATTGGAGACACAGCCCAATAGAATCCCAAAATACCTGATTGAAGGGAGCACAATGAAGATTATTCAGTCAAATAAGGAAAGAAGGAAGTTCTACAGGTTAATGAAGAGAGTGGAGCGACCTGTCAGAATAGAAGAGAAAGAGTGCTACTCCACGAGTAATACGTGTCGTATTGGGCAGATTGTGAATAACACGCGTCATTCGATGATACAGCGAATTTCAGACAGAAAGAGCGTAATAAAACTAAGAAAAAGGTGCGTAGACAGCTTTGACTATTTTGGAAATGGGAAGCTGTTTAGTACGAAGAGGCTGAAGACGAGAGGCGTAGAATGCGATACCAGTGCCCAGTCGATCTGCGTATTCTACGATTCACAACCTGAAAATGACACAAGGAAGGAGCAGAAGTTTGTGCTGGAGACACCAGATGCAAGCAGTGACTGCGACTGTACCAGATACACGAAACGAAACGCAAATCGAACCAGAAACATCTCCATCATCCCCAAAACATTAACAAATAGATTGGCCCGTTTTCAAAAGGGAAGCAGGGTTGATTCATGGAGACAGTTCCACGCCTTAATAAACATATTTCATAATCAGGCTGTATCAGTCCACTCGTACATGCACGATGTGCAAATGTAGTGGGCGTCGAGTGCCTTTACGTCACTCTTGCGCATGTAGCAGACACACTTGTTGTTCTCGCACTTTTCGCATATTTTATTCAGCGTAGGCAGCGTTACGTCATTTAGAAAGTACTGCATATTTTTGCTCTCACCTCTGTCCTCCTTGACGCGTTTAAATACCTCGTTTGTGCCCATATCTACGCTAGTGCCACACTTGGTGCATGCTAGGACGTACTTGCTGTTCTCATACTTTGGATATAGAATATTGTTGCACTCGTGACAGAATTGTATTGGCATAAAATGGGTATAAAAAGATGAAAATAAGAAGTTGAGTAGGTGGCACTAATTTGAGTAGATTGGTGTTTGTAGTAGCCTATTAGTCTCTATGGTGTCTTATAGGCACCATAATATATCATTTAGAGCAGGGGTGGCCAAACGTGGCCAATTTGGCCAATTTTCCTATACTTTTTTTCTTAGGCATTACTAGTGGGAAAAGCGGCATATGAAGCATTTTAATCCCTGTATCACACAAAATTTTACCATACGTTTGAACCTTACGACAACCCTGTACAAAACAAAAACCTTATTTTTTATCCCTACTTTTAGGCTTGAAAATAGGAAAAATAAGATTACGCTTCATTGTGATTTTACCACTCAATAAATGCAATGAGAAGTAGTTTATTGAAAAAGAGCTTATGAAGACACGAACAAAACAACGATTCGTGTTTTAGACGCGTCTAGATTACATGCATGAGATCGAAATAGCGAAAATGTTACAGATTTAAAATCTGAAGACAAGAGAGTGCTAGAGGAGGACATGAAAATAACGCTTTAGAAATCTCTGATGATATTAATGCCCACAATAGAGGGCGTTATTGGTGTTTCAATTTGATTTTATAAGAACCAAACGGATGTCAAAACGAACAGAATAACACGAAATAACAGGTTGTACTTCTTGTCTGTATCAAATAAGTGAGCATATCATACGTTTGTCTCTAAAAAAGATATTATTGGCAACAAAATATGGTTATCAAGCTTATTTACCACAATTAGAAAGTATTGAAAGTAAAAACAACAGCTATGTTAGAGAGCACAAAGACAATGAATATCTTAAAACAGAGTGTTTGAAGACAAATAAAGGCAAGTTTGTTGCATTTCTAATATTTTGGGCGAAAATAGACAAACAATAACATGGTGATTTCAGGGTAATTTGACTATCTCTGAATCAAGTGCCTAAAAATCGATGAAATTCAGATAATTAGAGGAGATTGAACTAAGAAGAATAAACATAAGCACAGAATGGTTGAAGTGAGATCAATAAAGGGATTTATGTTTGGGAGATAGTGATTAATAAAGATGAACAGATTTTCGATTATTTTCTAAGATAGCAATTAACCTGATAAAGATGATCACGACGTTTCGAAGAAACGTTGTGATTCCTTGCGCGGAGCGGCAATTTTTTGAGTTGGCTCGAAGCAGGCTAGCGAAGCTGGCCGCGAGCCAACTCAAAAAATTGCGGAAAATTTGGCCAACGGAGCACAAACTTTTGGCCACCCCTGATTTAGAGACATTCAATTTAAACAGGTAAAATTCTTACAAATTTTTATCCCAATGTCATTTGCACAGATTATGAGAGAAATCCACAGGAAGAAGCAGTCTGATGTCATGAAGTACATGACAAGAATAACACTGGTTGAGGCACGACAGAACGATGTGGTGCATCGTAAAGAGAAACCAGCATTTTTGGAGAGAGCAAGGAAGCTGGGCTACAAAGCCAAGAACGGATACACAATTTGGTCTGTTCGAATCAGAAAGGGAGACGCAATCAGAAACTACAACAACGGTAACACACGTGGAAAGTGTGTGAATGCTGGAATACACCAAATCAAGCCAGGTCAAAACAAGCAGGCTGAGGCTGAGCAAATTGTAGGACACAAACTCGGTGGACTACGCCTGCTGAACAGCTACGAGGTGGGCCAGGATCTGCGATACCACCACTTTGAGGTCATCATGGTCGATCCAAGCCACAATTCAATCAGAAATGATCACAAGATCAATTGGATATGCAATGCTGTTCACAAGCATAGGGAAATGCGTGGACTTACGTCAGCAGGGCAGAAGTCAAGGGGACTGGGCCACGGCTACAAGTTCAACAACACCAAGGGCGGATCCAGAAGGGCTGCCTGGAGAAACAGGAACACTCTTTCTCTGAAAAGATACAGGTGATAAACTGCTTTATTTTCGGAGAATTTTTTTATTGAACCCCACTGCTCCAAATTGAGGATGTGATGATTTGCACTCTCCGTTCCTGGGTAGCACAGATGGCAAATAGAGGTTTGCGTACACTTTTAATAGCATTCGTTTAGTATTTCTTGTCGTAATTGTTTCTACTGTAATCATTTCTATTTCCTGAAGCACTTCTAGAATAGTTAGATCTGTTGTAGTCACCCTTATTGCTATTGTAGTCACCTCTATTACTGTTGTAGTCACCTCTATTACTGTTGTAGTCACCTCTGCTACCATTGTAGTCACCTCTATTGCCATACTCATTCCTATTGCCATAATCACTTCGTTTACCTTGATCGTGTCTGTAGTTGTCATTCTGTACGTGATTATAACTGTTCTTGTGACCGTAATCATATCTCTCATTCTTACTGTGATTCTGCTTATAGCTCCCGTATCTCTCATTTCTGTTATAATTGGTATCATCTCTTCGACCATGGTCATTCTGCCTTGTTGTCTCCTCTCTTCTTTCTAAACCAGCGTATTTGTCTGCAAATGCTCTACGATCCTTCTGCATCTCGCAGTACTTCTGCCACGTGCTCTCTGTGAAGCCGTAGTTGAAGTAGTCCGTGATATCCGCCCCTGGTTTGAGCCATGGCTTCTCATTCATTTGGTCGATGTCCACGTCAAACGCATTGGTGTCCTGCATCTGCTCAATCTGCAGCTCTCCTTCCTGCGCCTTGTCTAAAACAAGCTGTACGTCCGTGGAGTCGCTCGTTGAGGAGTCTCCAACCAGAAAATCATCCGCCTTCTGCTTCATCTGGGGCTCAAAATACGCAATTAAGCTTAAATGAACGAGACAAACAAATTCCAATTCTCTTCAAAATTTACTAATTTTAAACATCAGAACGTGTTATTTGCCTCGTCGTAGCAGTCGTTCTTCAGGTTGTGATGCGTGTAGCTCCGCGTTATTCGCCTCTTCCGATTGATCTTACGCACAATCTCCTTGTCCTCAACAATCGACCAGAATCCGCCCTTTCCTCGTTGATTCGACTGGCGTGGATTCTTCTTGAATGCCGCATTCAGAGACAGGTTGTGTCTGATTGAGTTCTTCCAGATTGCATTGGCCCTCTTGAAGTACGGATACTCCTCCTCAATCCAGGTGTAGATCTCATTCAGGGTCATCATGTTGTTTTCTGATGAATTCAATGCCCGTAGTATCATGTAGGCGTAGGAGTCATCTGGCTTGTCTGTCTCCTCAGTCTGGCCCCTGTAGTGGGATGGCTCTCCTGGCGTGTAGTAGCCTGTGCTGTACTGTGGCTGAGTAATGGGCTCATATGGGGTCATAAAAGTGTCAAACACTGGATTGACATATTCCTTTCGTTCTTCCTTGTCCATCAGTATCTGGCACAGTTCCATGTAGTTGTCCACGGATGGAATCTTAAATATCTCGTCAAACTGCTCATTCCTGATGCTGTTCTTTTTGTTTTCAGGTTCGTTGACGTGTTCGCAATCAAAAAACATTAGGGGTAAAATGTTTTAATATGCATAAACCATGCAAACTCACAAAATAATGAATGAAACAGGCTGACTACAGGAGAACCCAATTACCCATTTCCGCGCCTGATTCCAATCACCTGAAAATATCAGTTTTATAGACCCCTTGTTTATTTCGTAATTCTCTCAATGACCTTGTTCTTCTCGTTGTAGTAGATTTCTTCCTCATTTGCTAGTTCCATAATGGCCTCCTGTAGAATCTGATCATCAAGTCCCTTCAACTCCTCTTGAATCCTCTCCACCAGAATGTTCTTCTTTTTGCTTCTTTTTATCACGCCCAGAATCTCCTTCTTCAAATCCTCAATCAGCTTCGTCTTTGATTTGGAGTGGCCTGATATCACCATATCCATGTCGATCTTACCAGTTCGTGGATCCAATGCATAGAGAAGCAGACTCTCTTTAATGAGACGCACTGCTTCAATCACGTCCTGCTTTTCAACAGATCTGCTGAATCTCATTCTGGCATGGGCTTCACCAAGACGAATGAGACTCTCAAGCTGTCTGGTTGTGGCTGTGATGGAGTTGCCGTTATCCAACTGCCTCAAATCAACATACGCCTCAGAAATCAGCTGTTTTGATTCAGCTGTGAGACGTGGATTGATTTTCTTGGCTTCCTTAATGTACGCCTTAAGAAGTCCAATACTGATTGGTGCTGGTTTCTGATCGCAGCAAAACAAGTCGACGATGTGTTCAGCAACGCGTCTGTCGTGCTCCTCGTCTGCCTTGTCAATCAGCAGAGCAATGACGTCGAATCTGCTGAGAAGCGTTGGTGGCAGATTCAGGTTTTCAACTATTGATTTCTTTGGATTGTATTTTGATTCAATTGGATTACACGATGCCAGAATGGAACAACGTGCATTCAGAGTGGTGATGATGCCAGCCTTGGCAATTGAGACAGTCTGCTGCTCCATCACTTCGTGAAGGACACTCTTAGTCGTATCACTCATTTTGTCAAATTCATCAATGCAACAGACACCATTGTCACTCAAAACAAGTGCGCCTGATTCCAGGATGAATTGGCCCGAATCACCGTCTCTTGCAACTGAAGCAGTCAGTCCGACAGCAGATGAGCCACGACCTGACGTGTAGATGCCTCTGTCTGAGATTCTGTTTACGAATGAGAGCAGCTGCGACTTGGAGATTCCTGGATCACCAGCCAGAAGGATGTTGATGTCTCCTCTGTGATTGCTGTTCTGTGTTTGCTTTGCTACGCCTCCAAACAGCTGCAACAGCACCGCTTTCTTGACATTTTCGAGTCCAAAAATGGAAGGAGCAAACGAGGCTGTCAGAAGGTCGTAGATGTTCTCCTGCCTTGATAGCTCACCAACCTGCTCCAGAAACTCCTCATCTGGCCTCCTTTGCTCCTGTACGTGTTCCACGTTCAGCAGGTCCAGAAACACCCTAAAAGTGCTCTTTACTTTACGCATAAGTGGATTAAGCTTAACTGGGACAGCTTTCAAAACGCCAATTGCAACAATTTTGTCGCCTGGAACAAGTTTGTCGACGAGGTCGTTCTTGACGACGACTGTGATCGTCATTGGCGCCGTTCCTTCTGGAATCTTCTCAGGCAGCTCCTGTAGTCGAACAATCTGCTTATCCGTGTATTCTCCATCCAAATGCCTCATTTCAAATGAGAATCTGCTTCCACAGTCACATGAAATTGGCTCATTCACAAGGCCTTTGACTGAATCAACATTAAGCGTAATTCCACAGCTTATGCATTTGTAGCAGGCTTTCTTGATTTCTGGTATGATTCCACTCGACCTGTTTACCATTCCAACAACACGAACGATTCTATCGATGTCTTCTGGATTCAGGTTTCGTATCACGACGTCTCCTCCAATCCCAACTGGCCTCAGTTTGATCTGTGGCTGTTCGTCTGGCTTCCTTTCTCCATACAACTCCACCAGCGTATTCTCCAGTATCGGAATCACCTCTGTTGGATAGTTCAACAGCTGCTCCTTCAGTTTCTCATAATTTTCATCCAACTCGTTACAGTCCAATTCCATCACAAACTCCTTCGTTAACTCCATTTCTTCTAGTTGATTTATGCATCTTTGATTACTTCGAATGAATTCCTTAAACTGTTCTGCTGTTTCCTGGATGTTGATTGTCGTGCCCCAAATCACTTTGACTCTCTCTGAATCTCCCTGTGTGTTGTACGGAGTGGATGTATCCAGATGTGATGGTGTCATGGTGAGTTGTAAATCCTGGCTTGCTTCGTCAAACGTGAATGCCTCTGAATTAGGATAATCTGTCATTTAGGGCTGAATAAAAATGTAAAAGTTTCCTACTGCTTTACCTCACTAAAATGTCTGGTGTGACTCCTCTGCCACGTCCTTGAAGACGACTTCACCATCGTAATCCACTCCAATCTGCTTCTTTCCGTCTCTAATCTCCCTGTAGATCACCGATACAAAGTCCCAATTCACCACTTTGAAGAAGTCGTAGACGTACGCCTTTCTCTGTGACTTATGCTTCAGGTAGTAGGCATGCTTCCACACATCCATGCATAGCAGTGGCTTATACGCCTTAGAATACATCATTGGACTCTCCTGGTTCTTGGTCATCACCAAAACCAGTGTTGGTTCAATCTTCTTAGTTACGTCAACAACTGCCCCTGTAATTGTTCCTGTTTCATAGCCGTATTCAGCAGAGACCTCCTCATCAACGAGACAGAGCCAAATCCAGCCAGATCCAACCACACTCAACGCCTTTGTTGCAAAGAGATCAATCAAATTGGAGAGTGTCTTGTACTGCTTCTCAATCATTTTCAACAGTGATGGATCAATCAGTTCTTCAGCCTTCTTCTTGCTTGGTGGAAGCATCATCTTGAAGTAGAGACTGTGGTTGTAGTGGCCACCACACATCAGCAGCAACAACTTGTAGTCTGCCTGATTAAACTGTGCCTTGAGTTTTGTGATTTCTTCAATCACCTCATGGAGGTCTTTTCCCTGGTTCACTTTCTCAAGGATGGTGTTTGTTCCTGCAACGTAACCAGCGTGATGCTTCAGGTGATGTGTTTCCATGGTCTCCGTATCGATGTACGGTTCCAATGCGTTGTACTTGTAGATGAGTTCAGCAAGTTTGTATGGCTTGGACATTGGGGTGAAAAGAATCAGGTAAATCAACGATTTGTGTAATAAATATATTATTGAGTCAAATCTGAATATTGGAGTATTAAACTGAATCATATTCCTGTACTAAACAATATATCTTCACTAAACACTCCTATGAATTTATTGATGATATATTATTCAGTAGTCAATTTTTCAACAAGCTTTTGATGATTCCTGAAGAGGAAGGAGACGTTGTACGTGAAACCCATCGAGTGGCTGAGCTCCTTGAACACAGCGTGCCCGTCTTGCATGTCTGGCACCTCCTCAAGCCAGATTCCCAGTTTATTGAACGTTTTTCTTGCATCAACTCTTATGCCATTGACCTTCACATTCCTGAATTTGTTAGTCAGAAAATAGAAAAGCAGATTCTCAAAGATATAAGTCGATTTCCTGTCATTCTTCACGCTCAGAATGTATGAACAGCCGTTGATGTTGCTTTTGTCCTCCCACTGCGGCTCCACCCCATTCCTAAACACGTTCAGACAGTATTTCTCTGTCTTGTTTTCTTCAATTACCAAATCAAACTGCTTTAGTCTCGCCATAAACCACTTCATCTCCTCTGCGGTGCTGATCGTACACACCTTTTCGAAACTGTTTTCGTAGGCGCAGCTTGTTGGATCGATCTTCAGATTTGCAGCAGTAACGACAAACTCATCTTCCAACTTCATTTTATGGGGTAAAAGTTTTGAATTGAAACAATAAAACTGATTTGGTGATAATAATCACAGGCAGGTGTCTAGTACTCATTAGGCAGTGAAAATGGTATTAAATATCTCTATATCCAGTAATTTGAAAAATGTGATTGATTTATTGAATAGTCTTCCTTAAGTAATATTATTTGTTTTGCAACTGTATGTTGCTATTTGTTATCATTGGAATTGCTTTGGCTCATTTAAGAAGAGATGAGCCAAGAGGAAACCCACTGTACTTCAGGAATACGGTCAAAAAGAGTATTTCATGTACCAGGTGTGTTCCAAAGATATGCAATTTGGACACGAATAACTTGGATACAATAGTATTGGACTTGGATCACACTCTTGTACACAGTGTGAGACATAGAGACATGATGGATGCATGCGAGTGCCCTAAAGTGCAGAATATACAGGTAACTGATACTCGTATCATTTTTATTAGACCAATGGCAGTAGCATTTCTAAAGGAATTGAGGAGATTGAACCTGAATATCATTCTATTCACTCTGGGAAGTGATGAATACGTGAGTCAAGTACTGGATAGTGCAAATATAAGAGATTTCTTCAGCAGAATTTACACCAGAAGACAGGCATTCAGGTTCAATACACAATATTGTATAAAATGCATCAAAGACTGTGATATTTTGGGGGATATCGGGGATTACCTGATTGTAGATGACAATTTGGCGTATTTTGGTAACCAAAATGAGTCTGTAATGAAGATGAAGAGATTCAGCATGTACAATACAGAAGATTGCGACCTAATGGCTGCATTGGCCGTCATAAATGACATCAAAAGTGGCAAAATATCCAAAAGAGAGGGACTGAGACTGTTCAATGGTAGAAACTAATCAATGACTTTTATTCAACTCCAAAGTCAGATTTAGAACAATCTTTGTCTCCTTTGGTTTCATGACACTGTCTGGATCGACACAGAAGTAGCCGATTCTGATGAACTGGAACTTGTCTTCGACGTGCGACTTCATCACGGAGTTATCGACGAATCCGTCTACCACTCGCAGTGATCCATCCAAATCGGCATCCTTCATAAATCCAGCATCAATTGGATTAAATGACTTGAATAGTGGTCCATACATTCTGAGTTCAACCTTGTTGCTCAAATCAGGTAACCACTGCACAAACTTCTTTGGCTTCAATTCCTCAATTGGAAGCAACTCGCACCTGATTCCGTCTGACTCCTTTCCCGTGTACTTCAACACGCCCAAATTGACCAGGCCCATTGGATTTGTGGGCGTGAGCCTGTGAAAGTCCTCGTCTTCCGACTCCTTGAAGTCGTCTCTGCTGATGTAAACCACCTTGTTTACGTCGTACTCCTCTCCTGCTATTGTTCCCTTCACTCTTTTATTAATGTGCACCTTCAATGGATCAATTAGACAAAATGCCCTTGGAGCAGTTGCAAAGAGCTTCCTGGCCACGAAGCTCTCGAGAATCTTCACATCGACGATCGTCTCTGAGAACGTGATTCCAACAGACTGAGTGAACTCGTTGATGGCTGCTGCTGGAAATCCCCTTCTTCTCATTCCCTTGATCGTAAACAGCCTTGGATCATCCCATCCAACCCCTTGTTCCACAATTTTAGACAGTTTCCTTTTGCTTAGCACCGTATTGGACACGTTGAGTCTGCTGAACTCCCATTGCACTGGTTCGTACATCTCCAACTCCTGTAGAAGCCAATGGTACGGCTCCTGTCTCGTATAGAACTCACGAGAGCAGAATGAGTGTGTTACGTCTTCAAGTGAGTCACAGACACACAACGCAAACTCATAGGACGGATAGACGATGTAGTTTCTCTTCTTTCTGTCGTGTACCATGTCTATGATTCGTGCTCCTATCAAATCCAGCATTAGCGGATTCTTTGAATCGAGTGGCATTTTGAACCTGAACACGGCCTCGCCGTCTCTGAACTGGCCCCTGAGCATCTTCTCGAAATTCATCGCATTCTCCTCAATGGAGCAGTTTCGGTACGGGCTCAGAATCGTTGGATCCGCGTTCCCTGCGTCTCTCTCAGCCTGGTAGTTCTGTCTTCTGGTTCTGATGTCATCCACTGTGCAGAAACAGACGTAGCCCCTGTCTTTCTGAATGAGCTTACGACACATGTCGAACATCGCCTCAAAGTGGTCGCTAGACGCAGTGATCTTGTACGGTTTGAATCCAAGCCACTTCACGTCCTCGATGATTCCGTCGTACAGCTCATCTGCCTCGTTCTTCGGATTCGTGTCGTCAAATCTCAGGTACGTTATTCCATCGTACTTATTGGCGTACTCAAATGACAAGTTGAGTGCCTTAGCGTGGCCAATGTGCAGGCATCCATTTGGTTCTGGTGGGAATCTCGTAACCACCTTTCCTTCTGTTCTCTTCAAGTGCGCCTTCATTATCTCTTCATTCGCCTGCTTATTTTCCCCAGCCTGGTGCAACGTGGCCACCAGTCCCTCGTCCAGCCAGCTCTTTTCGTACTTTCTAAGTGGCAAGTCAGTGCCATACTCCTTGATTTCGTCCAGGAAGATTCTTGTATCAAATCTGGGATACTTCTTCTTCAATTCCCTCTTTATGTCCACTTTTGACATCTCCTTCTCCTTCAGTCGTCTTATGAAGCTTCTTATCTCATTCTCATCGTAAGTGTGTCCCTTGCACCACTCAATGATCTCTTCCTTCGTCTTATTCTTCAACTCGTAGACACCCTTTAAAAGAGAGTCATTTTTCACTACGCCTGTTTCAATCACATCAGAAATTGTTTTCAGGTCTGTTCCCTTTGGTGCTGTACAGGCCAATGAGTACTGCATTTTGGTGAATGTGTTGCCAGATGCTATCACTGATTCGATGTTCTTCTTCAACGCCGGCTTGCTATCGATTTCTTCGATCTTTTCTTTGCTTATCGAAATGCCCTGTAACTTCTCAGCCAATGTCATGGGGTGATAAAATAAATTTTTATTTGAGTTGGATTAATTAACAAATAGCTGATATTATTGAGATTTACACTGATTTATTGAAATGGATGTCTGTATGTGCAGTATATAAGTAGAACTGGTTGCTATAACGTGTTGCACGTGATTACCTGCAATGTTTCAGTACATATTTCCGTGGATATTCCTCTTTAGGTTCTATGGTGTAATGGTTAGCATATAGGTCTCTGAATCCTGTGATCTGAGTTCAATTCTCAGTAGGACCATATTTTTTTGATTTTATTACCCTTATCATGTTACTGATAATGTTGAACTACGCGTTTACAGCCAAATCACTTGAGGAGTGTCAAGATGAGAGTCAAGTGGCTGAATCTACCAGAAGAAGGCAACTGCCTGATTCAATTCCAGAGGAAACTGAAATTCAGGTTCAAGTGGAAGACTGCAGACAGAGACTCATTCAACTGCATGAGGAAGTCAAGCACAGTAATGAACCAGGACCATCAGTCAGAATCAAGAAAGGAATTCGCCTGAACAGATTCATTCATGATGGAGGAAACCAAACTTATTTAAAAATCAATAAGGGTAGAAGAAGCATATTGGAATCAACTGATGAAGACCAGTCTAAAAGACAAGTGCAGTTTGCAGATAGGAGCGATCCGAATCCAAACATGTTTGTGGTGGAGAAAGTAGTGAGACTTGAATCAATTGAGGTGGATAGCTGCCTGAATATAAGCACTGCCCGTTTAACGCATCTTAAACTCGAGAATCTCAAGTACAAGTGCAAGTCAAACAGAAAACACGAGTTTATTTTTACCACAAAGCTGATTTCCGGAAATAACGAGAAAGTGGAGGTGACCTTGTCCTACCACCAGAATGAAATTCTTCATATAGCAACCAAATCAGCCATTCTACAAAGAAACAACACCAGGTTCAAATTAACTGTAATTGGTGATTTCGCTGATGGAAACACGTTGACAATTGAAGTTGTTGACAATAAGACCATTAAGAGGGGCTCTGTATTGACTTATTCATTTTCGGATGATAAATTCCATGCAGACACCATTGTACATGATTTAAGAAGTTAAATTGAATTTTCAATAGTTCACGGAATCAATCACGTTTTTAGTCTACCCTTGGATGATTGTTGTATCTTATTTGATATTTGGTTTCTGCTATCAGATCAGTGGAGTAGATGTGTCAGGTGATAGGACGTTGGTGCTTCAGCTTGTTGGATTGCCAGGAATAACTGAATTCTACAACAAAATGAAGGTGATCAGATCAGAAGATGAGTTCTATGAAATTGAAAGAAAGTTGTGCAGAATCACGGTGAAGAAGGTGATGGAATCTGATTTGTTGAATGCTTTTGCTAAGGATGTGATCATAACGGATGGTTTCAACAAAAGAGCAGTTTGGGCAACAAAAATGTTCAGAGGAACCATTTCACGTTATCGAGGTCGTTCAATACCACGGGAAGTGAGGAACCTGAAGGAAATGAAGAAAGAGCTGATGAGATTCACTCATTTAGCTCTAATGGAGTGTAAAAATATGATGGACTGTGGCACCACCGATTATTCAGGTACAATACGTGAATTCATCATATTTGAAAATGACCTAATTCAAATGGTAAACAGGTGCAATTTATCAGATAATTCAAGCAGCAATGCCACCAGTTTGGATACACTGAAATTGGGTGAACTTGACCAATATTCCACTATCAACTACAAGCAAGAATTCCATAGAACAAGGGTGGATTTGATTACAGGCAACTTGTTTCAAAATAACCTATCTCCAATAAAAGAGCCTACAACAGAACCAATAAGACGACATGATACCATTTCAAGCAGTAATCATTCAACAGTTGTGGACCATAGGCAGAGTATGAGAGCACTCAATTCGTATGAATTGGATTTTAAGAATTACCTGAAATCAAGAGAGACGATGCACATGAATGGTGTCCCAGAGAGTATACGGAGATGGAGACAGTTTGAAATAAGCTGCAGTTCCACTAAATTCGTGAGACAGAGGAATGAACACTATCCGAACTACACCATTTATCCACTGAGAGTCAAGTACGATAATGGCAGTTTTAAGGTCAAAATAAAGTTCAACAACAAATTCAAGCAGGATACAGCTCTGGTTGTCTGGACTGAAGCCATAATCAACAAAGAGAAGCAGAGGATCTTTCTAGGCAAATTTGAGTTGGGCAAGAAGTTTAGGAAGCACGTTATCAAACTCAAGGGGCCGTTTAAGGACGGCGATGAATTTTTATTTCATTTGATCAATAAGCAGAAAACGCGGATGAGTCCAGAAGTATCAGTCTGCTACTCAGAGTTGTTGGTGGATCAATCAGGTTCACCAATTTGCAGCCCCAAGAATCATGCAACAAACAATGGCCAATGAGGAGGATGAGACGTACAGTATGATCAATAAAGAGTATGCTGAGAGCAATTTGTATGAGCTATCAGAGGCACTTACGATACTATCAAAGTCAATATCAAAGACATCGCAAGAAAACAAGGAGCTGATTTCAAGCCATTTCTCCAAGTTCGTGGAGTGCAGAGCCACGCTTGAGGACATCTACGATGACGTAAAGGCGAAGAACCTGAACAGGAAGCTGACTGGTGAAATAGAGAAGGTCATTGGGATGCTCTTGAAGAAGTACGAGGCACTTTCAATAAGAATCAGGGAGGATATCAGGCAGGAGACATTCAATAACAGGAGATTGTACTACGAGAACGAATTCGTTGACATTTTCACGTTGAAGGCGAATTTGAGCAAAAACCTGAACAACTTCGAGAACTTTGTGAATCTCTACAAGAGGGCACAGAAGATATACGAGCCGTACAAGAAGTCGCAGTTTCTCACCAAAAAGATCGAAGACGTGCAGCCTGAGATCAACATCTTCTTGGAAAACGTCTATTCGTACATCAGCAGCGAGAGACTCAACTTCGAGGAGTCATGCTACTATTTCGACCTATACTTCGACGTGTCACAGGAGAAGTCTGATAGGAAGATAATGAACACGCTTCTTGTCACGTTCAAGGAGTGTACGTACATCTACGATGACATGGAGAACGTAGATGGCTACTTGAACTACCTTGAAATGAGTCTACTCAAATTCATTGGGTACGTTGACGACGACCTGAAGAAGAACGGAATTGAACACTACTTCAAGAGCATAGCACAAGCTGTGAAGACAACTGCGGCAGCAAAGACGGCATTCAAGAGAGCAGTCAAAGTCAGTGAGGTGCTTGAAGTCTCCCCAGCTGTTACTGCTCATTTTAAGGTTAAAATGAGTGAAGCAAAGGCAGACGCATTTTTCAACTTGTTAAAGAACGGAGATGAAGACGGAGAGGACGAGGAGAAGAATGCGGCCGTATTTGAGTATTTTGTGACTGAAGAAGAGACGGCATCTGCCACCGTAAACAGGCTACTTGAGAAGTCGACCAGAATATTTGTGTCGTACAAGGAGATCATCAAAGAGAACGAGCTGTCCAACATCCAGGACATTCTGATAGATCACATCAAGGCATCTGTTGAGGAGCAGAGCTTTGGAACCTACGACTTCTTCAGGCTTCAAATTACGGATGTACGAAAGTGCCTTGGAAGCAGAAAGTCGCCTAAAAACAGGATACTCGACCGATTTCTACGAGANGTATTTGAGTATTTTGTGACTGAAGAAGAGACGGCATCTGCCACCGTAAACAGGCTACTTGAGAAGTCGACCAGAATATTTGTGTCGTACAAGGAGATCATCAAAGAGAACGAGCTGTCCAACATCCAGGACATTCTGATAGATCACATCAAGGCATCTGTTGAGGAGCAGAGCTTTGGAACCTACGACTTCTTCAGGCTTCAAATTACGGATGTACGAAAGTGCCTTGGAAGCAGAAAGTCGCCTAAAAACAGGATACTCGACCGATTTCTACGAGAGAAGCGCGAGAAGACGGTGCTACGCCTGAGCAACGAGCTTGAGAAGATGATTGAGAAGACCGTGGTCAACGCAAAAAGTGGTGAAGACAAAACAAACAAAGTTGTTGCTGTGTTTATGCACATTCTACACCTGTTGGACAAGACATCGAAGGAGAGTCTGAAGGACATTCTGTTTGAAGCCAAACAGCAGATAATGAACGACCAGGTCACATTCTACTTCCTACACAAATTCATCAGAATGCGTGAACCAGACTTAGACAAGGCCAATCGTGAGGTAGCCACCAGAATCCACGACCAGTTCAAGTGCCTTAAGGATGAAATTTATCAGTGATAAATAGTCAAAACAAAANTTGAGAAGACCGTGGTCAACGCAAAAAGTGGTGAAGACAAAACAAACAAAGTTGTTGCTGTGTTTATGCACATTCTACACCTGTTGGACAAGACATCGAAGGAGAGTCTGAAGGACATTCTGTTTGAAGCCAAACAGCAGATAATGAACGACCAGGTCACATTCTACTTCCTACACAAATTCATCAGAATGCGTGAACCAGACTTAGACAAGGCCAATCGTGAGGTAGCCACCAGAATCCACGACCAGTTCAAGTGCCTTAAGGATGAAATTTATCAGTGATAAATAGTCAAAACAAAATGATGTTGTTTATGGTCAAAACAACCCATGCAACTTCGAGAGCAGACTAAGACAGGAATATACGGCGTATCTGTCCTAATTCAGGTCATCATCAGTGCACGTACGTCACTGTACATGACCAATGAGGCAGAAATGGTCTGGGACTTCTACGACCCAATCACCCTCACAATCATAGTCACTGGTCTCTTTGTGAACCTCTCTATCGGCATCTTTGGCCTCTTCAATGTCATGGGATTCAACAACTTCCTGACCAAGAACCAGCCCAACCTGATTGGCGTCTACCAGCGCATCAAGGCCGCTAGCAATTCTCACGTTTTCAAACTGCCTGATTATGACATTTGTGAATGTGATGGCACTGCTTGATGTCCCAATCACGAAGCTGAATGAGGAGTTCGTCTACTGGCTCAGTGCCGTCTTCCTCTCCCAGATTCTGGTTCTCTTCACCTCCTGGCTGACGCATCCTGATTTCAACAACTCCAAGTTCAGGAGATTCAAGAACAAAGTGGTAGCGAATAGAAAGAGGGGAAGCATCATTCACGTATAGTGTACTGTATATAATGGTGGATGGTTTATGTAACAGTTGCGGCCATATCCTCAGATGAGCTCCGGTACCCATCTGAACACCGAAGATAAGCCTGTGCGAGCCCATGCCAGTACTGAGTTGAGAGATCACTCGGGAACGCTGGGTGCTGCAATTTTTGCACCTGCTGATCCCAGAAATGCCATTCAACTCACTCAGAAGAATCAACAAGGAGAGCAACAAGGTGGAATCGACATTCAATCACCAGCTACCAGTGACCAACATGGATGCCATGGCAGATTGTGCTGATATTGCAGTAAATGAGGCAGCTAAGAACAACGATCTCATTCCATTTATTCTTGATAACTTTGGAGTAGGAAAAGAGGTGTCACTGAGTGAGATTGAGAGACTCCTAAGCAAGTACAAGGGAGTTGACTGTGATTTGGTTGATAGGAAGCAGCCTATCAACACCACTGGCTTCCAAACAGCATCAGGGTGTACAATCAGCAACTCACAGCCTAAGGAGAATCAGCCCAAGGATGCACTCAGAGAACGAATACTCTCTGAGATTGTTGAAACCAACTTGAATGTCACCTGGGATGACATTGTTGGTCTCTCTGACGTCAAACAGGCCATAAATGAGATGGTTCTGTGGCCACTGATGCGCCCTGACATCTTCACTGGTCTCCGAAACCCACCAAGGGGGCTGCTTCTCTTTGGTCCCCCTGGGACTGGGAAGACGATGATTGGAAGGTGCATTGCTTCCCAGGTCAAAGCGACCTTCTTCAGCATCTCAGCCTCGTCATTGACGAGCAAATGGGCTGGAGAAGGAGAGCGAATGGTGAGGACTCTCTTTGAAATGGCACGAGAAATGGCACCGTCGATCATCTTCGTTGATGAAATCGACTCGCTGCTTTCACAGCGAACTGAAAACGAGAACGAGGGAAGCAGAAGAATCAAAACTGAATTTCTGGTCCAATTTGACGGAACCAAAACAGATGGAACTGAGCGCATTCTGCTGGTTGGAGCCACAAACAGACCACATGAGATCGACGATGCCGCAAGAAGGCGCCTTGTGAAGCGAATCTACGTCCCACTTCCCTGTGCTGGTGCAAGGGGGCAGCTGATTTCCAAGCTGGTTGGTGGATACGCGAATGAGTTGAGTGGCCACGAGGCTGAGCTGGTTGAGCTGACTGTGGGCTACTCTGGTTCAGACATCTTCAGCCTGTGCAGGGAGGCGTGTTTGGAGCCACTTCGAGAAATCGGCGACATTTCCGATTTCAGGGCGGAATGCGCCAGACCCATCGGAATCAGCGACTTCGCCAAGGCAGCCAGGGCCATCAGAAAAAGTGTCTCAGAAAGTGACCTGGATTTGTACAGCAAATTCAACAGTGAATTTGGTGCTGTTGGTAAAGGGTAGTTCACTCCTCCGTCTTGATTCTTGTTACGATATTCATCCCCTGCAATTCCTGTAGCAGCAGCTTGAAGGCGTAGGGTATTTCAATTCTGCTGATTGTGCTGTTTTCACAGCCAGTGCATGCGTCATTGCACATCAGGCCGCATTCGTCACAAACAGAGCACTGATACGAATCAGACACGTCCATGAGACGCTCCTTCAGAAAGGCAGATGCACCGTGGGAGATGATGCAGTCTCTTTCCATCTCCCCAAATCGCAGACCACCGTCTCGCGATCTGCCTTCGACTGGCTGCCTTGTCATCACCTGCAGTGGCCCACGTGCCCTGGCGTGGATCTTGTCTTCCACCATGTGCTTCAGTCTCTGGTAGTAGGTTGGGCCAATGAATATCTGGCTTCGTAGCTTGTAGCCAGTTGCACCACAATGCATCACCTCAAATCCACGTTTCTGGTAGCCAAACTTCCCCAGTGCCTCAGAAATCCCATTGATTTCATCAAGGCTGTTTTTACGTGAATCATCGCCAGATGCGCCCTTGAATGGGGTTGCGTCTCCTTCAACTCCGCTTAGAGCAGAGACCTTCCCCAACAGACACTCGAGCAGGTGACCAATTGTCATTCTGCTTGGAATTGCATGCGGGTTGATGATGATGTCAGGAATCAGCCCATCTGCCGTAAATGGCATGTTCTCCTGTCGTAGGGTGATTCCAACCACCCCCTTCTGGGCGTGTCTACTTGCGAACTTGTCTCCCATCTGCGGTATTCGGACACTTCTCACCTTGATCTTCGTGAATTTGTACCCTTCTTTTGTTGATAAAATGACCTTATCAACTGCTCCCTTTTCAGCCTTACGAATGAGCGTACTGGTGTCCTTGAACTGGTAGAATGGGCTTCCTGGAACAGACTTCTCTGCATCCAGAACAGGAGTCACCTTCCCAATGATTGGATCATCCCCAGTCACCTGTGTCCCAGGAAACACGATTCCGTCTGGGCCAAGGGCGTCGTAGCTCTCCCGCCTTGGCCTGAACACGGTCTCTGGATCTGGCTTCAAAATTGTCTCATTCACCCCGGCGTATTTCATCTTCTCCTGATCCGCATACGTCCTGTACAGAAATGACCTAAATAGGCCACGATCAATTGCAGACTGGTTCATGATGATTGAGTCCTCCTGGTTGTAGCCAGAGTAGCATGCAATTGCAACAATGCAGTTTTGACCAGCTGGTAGCTCCTTGAATTTGAGATATTCCATTGATCTGGTGGAGACGAGTGGCTTCTGGGGGTAGAAGAGGATGTTTGAGAGCGTGTCCATGCGATTGAAGAAGTTTGTTGCGTAGATTCCCATTGCCTGTTTTCCCATGGCCGATTGATACGTGTTTCTTGGTGACGGATTGTGGGTTGGAAATGGAATCACAGACGCAGTGATTCCGAGAATCATTGCTGGGTGGATTTCACAATGCGTGTACGCCACTGATTCAGGCGACTGCCTGAGATCGTGCAGATCCATCGCAATCAGCGACGTCTCCTCCTCGGCCACGTCCAGCAGCTCCACCTTCCCAGTTCGAATCAGGTCGTCCCACTTTCTACGGATGTTTTGCAGGTCGAGGACGTCCTCCCTGGTCACAAGCAGCTCGTTTCCCTCGACGATGAAGAGCGGCCTACACGGTCGCCCTGCGTCCGAGTTGAAGACGATCTCGTCCTCTTTGATGTTGAAGACGATCGAGATCTCTGGGTCGATGTCACCGCGTCTCCTTAGCCCCCTGATTTCACTGACAATTTTGGTTGGATTCCTGGTCACGCCAATCCATGCTCCATTCACCAGCACCCGTGTTCCAACTGCGTCTGCAACCTCCTCAAGTCGCTCCACGCCCTGCTCCTCCAGAATCTCCACAAGCTGCTCCGATGATCGACCAACTGAAATGTACGACATCAGCGACAGATTCTTCACCAGGCCACAGGCCTGGCCCTCGGGCGTCTCGGTCGGGCAGACCATTCCCCAGTGCGTGTTGTGGAGCTGTCGTGGGGCCGACAGCTTCCCCTCTTTTTCAATGGGCGTGTTTACGCGACGAAGGTGGCTGAGGGTGCTCAGGAAGTTGTAGCGGTTCAGAACCTGGGCCACGCCGGCCCTGGTTGCCATTGCCCTGGCCTGCTCTCCCCAGTTTCCAGTCGCCAGGGCGTATTTGAATCCGTTTGTGATGATGCTGCTTTTCAGCCCCACGGCCAGGTTGAATTCACGTCCGCCTTCTACGCACTTTTGAAGGTGTTTTGCCGTCTCATTCGTCAGTTTCCTGAAAAGCACCTTGAACAGCCCAGCAAGCAGTGGCCCAGACAGGTCCATCCTCTTTTTCCCGTAGTGGTCTCTGTCGTCGACCTCCCTCTTTTTCAGGGCCACTGCGAGTGTTTTGTTGATCACGTAGCCCAGAAAGTGCGCCTTCTTCGTCTCGCAGAATTCGTGGGTTTCGACGTGGGGGAAGAATTCACGGGCGAGGAGGCCACGGGCGAATTCAACTCGTTTTGATCGCACCGATCCAACAGGCGCAGATCTACGGCCGATGAAATCGAGGGCACTCTCCTGGTTTGCGAGGGTGCTTGCTTCCTCGAGCGAATTTAACACGAATTCGTTCAATTCGTCCTCTTCGTGCTGGACGTGTTGGATGATTTCTTTGTCGGAGTTGAATCCAAGGGCCCTGAAGATCACGAAAACAGGAATGTCCTGTTTGACGCCATTCAGGGAAGCCCTGATTACGCGAGGATTCTTGAGAGTTTTGATTGAAAATGGAGACGGAAGACGAGAGCCCTTTTCAGGGACAGAACGGATTTCAGCGTAGTGCGTGTAGGGCGCAGGCTGACTCTTTTTGAAGACGTGGACCGTGTTGGATGCCATTCGCTCCTGGGCCACAATCACTTTCTCACCGCCTGTGATGATGAAGTAACCGCCTTGGTCGTAGGGACACTCTCCAAGGTTGATCGTGCTCTTCTCATTCAGATCACTTAGGGCGCAATATTTTGATTTGACCATGATTGGAAGTTGGCCCAGTGGGACACGGATGGCTTTCGAATGCTCGATGTCTCGTCCATCAACGTGGTAGCTTTTGCTGATGTCGATGTAGACATTGGCGGCGTACGTCAGGTCACGAAGACGCGCCTCATTCGGGTAGATGTCTTTGGTGGAGCCATCACTCTCGGTGTAGACAGGTGGAGCCACGACGCTGATTTGACCAAAATGTAGGCGCATTTCACGTTGGGTTGTGTTTCCAGCAGTGGGCGTGCTCTTCACAGAAATCACAGAATTTTCATCCATAATTTCCTGCATTTTGACTTCAACAAACTGATTGAACGAGTCGAGTTGCTGTCGCACGAGTCCCTTCTGCTCAAAGAATGACGTGATTACAGCCCAGTTGTTCTCCTCGTTGCCGAGAATATCTTCCTTGTTCGACTTCTGAACGTCTTCAACTCTCATAGATGGGCATAAAAATAAGATTGTTTAAAAATGATTTAAGCTTAAATGTATTTTGTTTGTTGTAGTTTATGCGTATTTGATATTGTGTGGTGAAATTTGTGACTGAATTTCAGGGTAGACCCATATAATGACAGAAATAAAGAACACGAGTATGGCTTACTACAACATAGACAACTTCATGGAAGATGAGCAGGTGGCCAGTGTCGTATTCAGTGAGGATATCATGGGCACTAAGCTGTATAAGGTAGTTAAGAAAAACAAGAAGACAGAAATGCACATTTTTGCAGTGAGGTTTCTAATTGAGAATGAATTCTGCAAAATACACAGGAGCGAAGAGGATATTGGTGAATTCTCTAGGTTAAAGAACGATTTGGATGCACAGGCTGATATTGTGGATCTGAAAAATGAGATATTCTATGCATTTATTACGGCACAGAAAAGTGATAGCGAAAACAGCAGTGAATTTTTGAGCAGCACTTTTTTGAAGAGAATGGGCCGTTTTGCAAAGTTGCTCGTCAAAGAAAACTTTGGTGAGAACGAGATATCGCACTTGAGCTACGAGGAGCGCAAAATCATTATTCAGGCACGAAAGGCCTACCAGGCGCACGTCAAATATGAAGTAAACATACTATGACTTAAATAATCAATCTACTATCGTATGAAAAAGAAGTAGATCAAAATCAGCATGATAAATGCGATGATGCCATACGTCTTGTATTTCTCATATTTCTCCTTGTTTTTCATTTCTCGTACTTTCTTTGACATGAATTCCGACTCAAATCGCAGATTCTCTGCCATTGATTTCAGGTTATTGATGTTCTGACCCCTATAAATCAAATTGTCGAGGTTCTCAACCAAGGACGAGTGTGTCGATTCCAACACTTCATTTGTGTTGATCATACGCACATTCTTGTTATGTTCATCTGAAATTGCCTGGATTTTCTCATCATTCTGGTAGCATGAGACATTTATGCTCTGTATTTGTATTAATTTGCTTTGAACTGATTCGTTTAGCTTTCCAATGTATGCCGTTAGTGTTTTACTGGTGCTTTTTGTGTCTGTAATGACTGCTACGCACAAATTGTGTTCGAATGCGTCTATTGTACCAATGTAGAACGTAAATCTTCCACTTTCAGACTCCTTGGAATACGTTTTGTTTGACTGCAATACACTTAAGTTGTCAGGATGAAGAGCCTTGGCAATTAGATGCTTCATTTCTGTTAGAATGTCATAGTCTTCTTGTAGAAATACACCCTGTGTTGAGAAGCTGCCTGTGAGAATCTTTTTGTTGTTTATGTTAAGAAGCTGTGTGTAGAGAACGGCCATTTGGGGTAAAAAGACCACTGGAAAAGTGTAAGGAATTTGGAAGGTGTTTTTTGGTGAATAATTGCTGAATGATGGTTATTGAAGTACCAATAACGTTTCTACATTAATATTCCAATATTTACTGCTTGTAATATGTCAAAATACCATCAGATATATCTGGCTATTTCATGGTTTCCTTACAATTCTGCTTTCTATAGAACACAAACAATAATCAGCATTTTCAAATGATAACAAACAAATGATTGAGGCTGTCCAATACTAAATATGCAATAAAGCACTGTAGTAGCCAGGGATCACATCTATAGTGCACATTGCAATAGTAGACACAAACAAATTATTTGTTTTCCAATTAAGCTTAATTCTTTTATAATAATAAACCTGATTTCATGCATGAAGAACCAAAAAATTGATGAGAACGAGCACATCAAAAAGGAGATCAAGGACCTGATTGAGCGGAGTATACCAACTAATAGGCCACGTAGGGAATCAGGCATCAACCACCCGTACTCATTTCCGAATTATTTGGAGCAAACAAACTTCAAGCCCAAATACCACGGAAATGAAGTGCACTACCAGGAAGGGAACAAGGAGAACATCTCGTGCGGGCGGAAACTGTTTCAAAAGCCCACGTCACTGAAGTTCTTCAGAAATGAGTACGGCTCCCTTCGGAAGAGCCCAGGCGGATTCAAGCACAACACATTTCACAATAACCGTAGCTTTGCCTATACAGTTCCAAAAAACTATATCACGAACAAGTTTAGCGGCACGACGTTCCTCAAGAGACCTCATGGAGAGAACTTCTACGAGGCAGCTCAGTATCCAGTTCGCTGCGAGGAATACGATAAGCGGATTCTGGTACCTGGCAGCAACGAGAAGCTGCGAGACAAGCGCACCACCGTGATGATCAAGAACATCCCCAATAAAGTCAACAACAAGGAGATCAAGGAGATCCTAGACCGATACGTCTTTGGTAAATACAACTTCCTATACCTGCGAATTGATTTCGAGAACCACTGCAACGTGGGATACGCATTCATCAACTTCGAGAGGCCCGAGCACGTGATTGAGTTCTACAGGAAGTTCCAGGGCTACGTCTGGGACAAGCGCATCTACAGAACCAACAAGATCGTCCATTTGGCGTATGCGTCGATTCAGGGGATCGAGGCACTGAAGAACAAGTTCAAGGTCTCCTCTGTGATGTGCGCTGATCCCGATTTCAGGCCCAAAATGTACCACACGTCTGGAACAGAGGTTGGGGAGGAAAAGGAGTTCTTTGAATAGCGCATCACCTGTAAATAAATTAAGCGACAGTCACTGGCTGAAATAGTTCACCATTTCGTCGCAGGCAGGGTGGTTTATCAGGTATTTGGACTGGTTGATTGCTATTTCAGCACAGCCTGGTTTTGGACTGCTAAATTGAGTCCGATTGAAATAGAGCTTGTTTGGCTTGCTTCTGTTGTAGAAGATCCCCTTTACGACATTCTCTCGTGTTTTATACAAATATATCAGTCCTACGCCGTATGGATCCATTTTGTTGATTTTGTCCATCTTCTGCACTTTCAATACGTCTGATACGTAGAGAAGCTCCATATATTTGTCATCCTCCGTCTTTAGAAACTCATTTACCACTTTGATTTGTCTCGCATTCATTCTGGGTTAAAAACAAATCAGAATCAACTTGGTCAGGCAATTGCACCGTAAGGTCATTGACTGATATTCTGCTCCAAACAACCTTCTTTATCTTTGGATTCACCTCTTTATTGTTCAGGAATCTGTTGATGAATGCTTTTACTATTCCGGATTTGCTTCTTAGGTATCCATATTCCATCAGAAAAGTGTCATATTCATTATCATTCATGTTTTTCACACTGTATAAATATATCAGCACTGTCATAAGGCAGTAATTTAGATCATTGATGTCATTTGTATACAAAAACATTTGATATTTCATATTTTTGAAGAGCAGCACTTTCAGTTTTGCCAGGAGATTGGGCATGTCATCGGAGTATTGGTCAAATAGATACTCAATTGCTGAGTCAAGTTCACACTCATTCTCTGCTATTTTCAGTAGTTTTTGCAACTCAAAATCAATCAGCATTCTGGGCAAAATTGTTTGTTTGAAGCCCGTGATGACATACAAACTGTTTGTTGTAACTTGGAACTGTGGAGATGTACCTGAAATCGATTTGGATGTATTATTGAATGGAATTGGGACTGATGGAGCTGATATTGTGGTGCTGAATTTACAGGAAGCAAATAGGTTCAAAATGAATACAAGAGAAGCAACAAAAGTGGTAAAAATGGGACAAATAATCACAATAATAATTAGCAAAATAAGCAGGGAGATCACAGTACACAAATTGGGATTGGGATTCTTTGGATACACGAATAAGGGATGCATATTCACAGAAATAGGTGATTTGGTGATGTGTAATATTCATTTATCACCTGATGAAGAGAATGTTTTGATGAGGGAGAATCAACTCAAAGATATTTTGGAATCAGTGAACTCGGCTTGTGATAAAATTGTCCTGGCTGGTGACTTCAACTTCAGAAGCAACTTTGATGAAAGTAGAAATTTGATGAAAATGAACACGATCAAATTGAAAGAGGGAACCATTGACTTTGATGTCACGTATAAATACACTAAGGGAAGCAACCACATTGACAAAAGTAGGAAATCAGCATATTGCGATAGAATATTCACTAGTGAAATAATTGATATTAATCAATATGGATCAAAACAGGATGAAAACATATCAGATCACAAACCTGTTTATTTGGTAGGAAGAGTTAATGAGATTAGCGAAGGAAACAAGAATATGGTTGATATTGGAGCATCTAACAAAATAATCGCAAAAGTGTACGAAAACAAGTACATCGCAATTTGTGTAGTCGTTGCGGTGATGTTGTTTCTAGCTAAATGATATTCATTTACATATTTTACTATAGTTTTTTCGTCGATTGCTTTTTGATATTCCCAGTCCAACATACCCCTTGATGCATTGTACTGCGATCTCATGCTCTGGGTCTGTCAGGTCCACTGGTAAATTGCACGTGTTTTTAATTATTGTTTCGAAAATTGATTCCTTTTTGACGTTACTGCATCGAATATTGAAATTGATTTTGAACGAACCTGATGCAATCTTACTACATTCCTTGTTGATGTATTTTCCAATAGAATTGTATAGGAATGCTAGCCGTTTGGTTGTTTTGTATGTGCCAGGTGGCTCATTTTCATCCTTGTTGAATTCAGCGTAGTCTTTCAGGTGATAAATCCTATCGAGAAAATCAATTCGACAAATGAACCTGAAAGTGTGATCAAAGACAATTCTACTGATGGGGACGTCCTCAGTGAGCAATAGCAGTATACAACAGGTGTGTCTTTCAAGTTCAATCAGGTAGTTCTTTCTTACACCGATTTGTCTGACGATTAGGTCATTTAATTCGGTTAAAGCAGCATTTTCACGCTTTGTTCGAGTAGTAATGAAGAGACCATTTCTGTACATGGATTAGAAATAAACAGTAATAAAAAGCAGTATCAAAAATACAATAGGAAAATCAATAAGAATACATAGAGAAGTTATTGGACAAATAGTAGGTGGACACTATAAAACAGTTGCACATATTGAAAAATCAATTCCTGAAGCCTAAAAATAGTTTACTTTCTGTTGAATCTAGAGACCAGCTTCTTTAAATTGTCCAATTGATCTGAATTCTGTGCTAGATTATCTCCATCACAGAGTATTTTATCAAATATTTTGGCAAAATGCGGGTTATTCAACAGCAAAAAGACACCCAGGCTTATTCCATCGGGTGTTCTAAAAAGATCCTTGTAGAATGTGATGTCTTCGGTGTAGACGGTGATAACGGGCTTTGTTTCGATGACTACGTCCAAAAATTGGAAGAACTCATTGCTTCGGCCCATATGCTGTAATTTCTGGTTTAAGTTCCTAATAAAAGTAGTTCTGCTGAAAAGCCTAACTAAAAAGTAATTAAAGATGTTCTCTGTGTGTATACAAGCATCATATATGTCACGCAATACACACATGTAATCCAAATAGTCCATATTCACACACATATCGAACAGCTCAAATTCAAGTTCCTTCTGGGTTTCGTTATCAATCTCAATATTCTTTATGATGCTGAGCGTATCATAAATCTGCATATGTTGCATTTTCTCGTGCAATTCTGGTGACAACTCACAGCATACTGCTTCACGTTGATCCTTTTTGCTTCTCTTTGTTTGTTTACCAAAATACTTTTTGATTTCTTGCTTCTCAAAATTCTCTCTAAGTTCAACTTTTTCACCTTTCAACAGCTTGTTGTAGTCTATACTACTCTTAGATATGTTTTTGACAATAAAATTGCTCACAAACAGCTTTTCTTTGAGTGACATGATGTCGTATTTCGTTTGTTTTCTTTGCATGAACTTCAGGATTCAAAAATTTACGAATTTTATTATCGGACCAGACAGGCCACTAGCTACCGAATTGTGTCATAACTGCATGTATTTAGCACTATAAACACACCCATACAAATACATGTATGCATCCCTTTATTTACAACAAAAGAAGGAAGAAATACACCCACCATTCTCCAGTTCGTATTTCTCGTGATCATATGCACGTTCCAATGCAACAAGATTGTCATTGCAAGCCTCTGTTTCAGCTTTGAACTCCTTAGAATTCACTTCCTGTAATACATTATTCCTTACCACATAGTATTTATTGGCTTCAGTATCAAATTTACACCGTTTTACAACAATTTCACTCTTAACTCCCTTCTTATTTGGTTGTTCATTTTGGTCTTCATTGGGTTTCATTTAAGGGACCTAAAAAGGATTGTTCTAAAGACTATTGTTGCATTAATAATTGCATAAATATATTCGTCTGATATCAACAATTTCATTCTCATATAGATCTTAATTACGGATACACCTAAACCAGCAAGATTTGAAAATTTTAGTAGCCCAAAACACCCTATGAATGTAGATAGAGAAATTAAACTAGAAGAGATGATAGATCACGATTCTGAGGAGACAAACAATGCATACGAAGTATTCAAAGAGGATCTAAATGAATTAGTCTCTCAAAAAGAAGATAGAAAGAAGAAAACATCCAACTTCTTCAGTAAACCAGTACAATCTAAAGAAGCTGATAAAATTAACAAAATACTCAATAGAACAGTTCAGAACAACGAGAAGATGTTAGAAAAGAAATTGAAAGTAGAATTTGACAAGAAGATGCAGCGAATGAATAAAATTAAAAGCAAGTGTTACAGGAAAAAATTGAAAAAGACAGAAAGTATTAAGATAAAGGATGAGATATATGAAGAAATCAGCGATATTGTTGAAGAAGTAGAAAACGATGAAATTATCCAGATGAATCCTAAGCTATTTGTGGAACCATGCGACTTTGAACTAGATGAAACAAATGGATACCAGAATGATCAGAATAAACTGAAAATGGCCGATTTGTTTGATGCAACTGAATCAGATAGCAGCAACAGCTTCGCTAAAGAAAGAGAAGATGTCATGCGAGAAGATGCACCGTGCATAAATGAAATGATATTACCTGGATTTGATGGTGAATGGGCAGGTGAAGGAATTGAGACTATTAAGAACAAGCAGAATACCATCCGAACTACTAAAGAAGGAATTGCAGTGCAAGATAGGACTGATTTCACAAAGAGAAATGTGATAGTAAACGAAAACATAAAATTCAACCCAAAATACGATGTGGATCTTCCACAAGGATATACGGCAAACATGTATGAGAAGAAGATGAAGATGTGTGTGAACAAATCGAGCAAACCAAATAATGGCGTAGTTGGAGATGAATTAGAAATAAAGAAGTTGAAGTAATTTGTCAGGGTATTTTTAAAAATCCTTTACTCCTTAAAAATGAAACTTACAAAATCAAAAATATCTTCTGTGTTCAAGAAGGCGTTTAAACATCATAAAAAGAAACCGAAAGTGACTGGATTACAATATGATGCATCACAGCCACTTAGACAGAACACACCTAACTCCGAGAGTGACAAAATATACAACCAGGATCTTGCACTATTTGTGAATCGAGTCAATACAATATTCACGCTTTCATACAACAAGAGACTCAAAGGAGAGAATGGCCTAGAAATACTCTACGAAATGAGGAGACTCTGTTCGGGTAGAAGTGATGGGGAAATATTAGAGGTATTGAACGAGGTTCATTTTAACAGATATTTTACATTTAAAGAGGAAAAGAGAGCATTCAAAGAAATAAACAGCGATGAGAATGAAGAAAAGATGCTGATTTACAGAGAAATGGAAGAAATCGAAACAGAAGAGAAGAGCAGTGAGGACTCATCACTAAAATCACCTGAGACATTCACAGCAAAAAGTTGCAGTCAAACACTGGAGTTGCTGGAAAAATTCACCAAGAAAGCATCAGATGAATTCAATGATGAAAACGCGTTTAATATAGATCAACTGAATGACTTAATTGATAAATCAAATGAAATCAGACAGAATAGACCAGTAACAACTAAAAAAGAATTAGCAGATACCAATATAACACAAACAGTTGTAAAAATACCATCAACAGAGGCAGATGTAGATATTAAAATCAGCCCATCTGATCAGGAACCAGAACCAATATCAGAAGATAGCACAAGCACAAATATAGATGAAGAGACTGAATCAGAGAATAACAAGGTGGAGCCCGCTGCTTCGAACTGTGATGTGACATATCAGAATATTGAGAGCAATAAAAATGGGAGTATTAAAAGCACAGAAGCACAACATGTGGTCAAAGCAGTAAGAAGGCGATCTTTCTTCATCCAAATCATATTGGCATTTGTATATTTCATAAAGAGCATTCTGAGCTGTGCATGTATTTGCAAGCCAAAACGAATGAACTTTGAAAAGAATGAGACAAGCAGAATCAATACCATCAGGGCACTGGAATGCATGGCCAAACAAATAGAACAGTGCAATTTCAAAATATCAAAGTCAATTATCAGTAAGAAACTACAAGAGGCATTTTATATCAGAGAAATCAAACAATTCAGGTTCTATCAAATCGAGATACTTTTTGCTACAGCAATGAAAATAGTGAAAGAAGATGAATATTTTGATAGAGAGATGCTATTTGATATTAATACCACTGCACTAATTGATACAAATGAAGCCAAACAGCTTGTAGAGGAAACCAAAAATGGTAAAATACTTATAGAACTAGCCAAAATAGTTGATGGAGCCCAAAACAATAATTCAATATCATTAAGAGAATTCAAATTCATTAGAGATAGAATACAGCAATCAATATTCAAAGAGGTTGCTGGAAATGATATCAGGTGTGATCACGCATTGGATGAAATTGTCTATTGTATCAAACTGGGCTAACTTGAAATAAATCAATTTCTGATACCCCAAATGAAGAAATATTACACAAATTACTCCAACAAACTCACTGAGCGAAATTACAGATTTAAATTTGATCCATTCATAGAAAGAGAGCTAAAACTTAGTGAGACAGCAGCAGTCTACTGTCCGGAATATCAACGAGGCAGATGTAGGGGAAACTGCAACCTGCTTCACATCAAGCTGTCTACGGCAGTGGTCTGTAAACACTGGCTACGAGGAATGTGTAAGAAGAATGAGAGATGCGACTATCTCCACGAATACATTCTAAGGAAGATGCCTGAGTGTTTCTTCTTCAACGTGTATGGCGTATGCAACAATAACGAATGTATGTTTCTACACGTGAAGCCTGAGTCAAAAGCACGAGTCTGCGTCTGGTACACAAAGGGGTGCTGCAAAAATGGACCACAATGCAAGAACAAACACATTCGAAAGAGTCTCTGTTGGGACTATTTCAATGGTTTCTGTCCAGCTGGGCCAAATTGCAAGCTGGGCCACCCCAACTTCGATTTGGAATACGTGGAGGTGGAAGATAAGGACATCATCACAAAGCCATTGGCAAAGGGGTGAATAGACACTTATTTACGCAAATTGCTCCATGTTAAATACTCATTTTATTCAGTCTGAATATTCATATGGCAGTTTCTGTTATACTTTTGCTGTCTCCAAACAACCATCTGAAGAAAAATATGATAAGGATGATCAATACTAGTGCAACCACAATCAATGTGATGACCATTCTCCTTGTGATCCTACCGTAGTCTTTTATACTTAACACCGATGCATCCGTCTTCTTCATCTTGAACTCTGCTATCATAGTGACAGTATCATTTCCTTTTACTTTATAGACCACAAATACGTGTTTCTTTCCTGATGAACCATCAGGAAATGCAGCCTTTCCAATTTCAAAGCAGTTAAAAATTGCCTTTAACTTACCACATCCATCCTTAATGTATTTTGGCAAATCTGTTCCTTTACACAGCTTTTCCCGTGTGAATTCATCTATGAAATCTCTATATTCAATCGGAAGTGCCATATTTGACAATTCTCGCATGAGATCTTTGAAGTCTTCATTTTCTTTCTTAATTTCTTTAGTCTCCTCAATGAGATTGTTGTATGACTCTCTTTCTTCCAGAAATTTGATGAAATCTTCTTTGCATCCAATTGATTGCCCTGGGGTTGATGCTGGTTTTGGGTAGTTGTCTGCTTTTAAATTCCCTGCTACATGAATTGATACTGTTCCCCCGGCATCGTTTAATTCCAGGCCAACAACCTCCACGTAACTCGAAAGTGTCACATCACTGCATGCAAGTGCCTTTTTATCTGCACTAGCATCTTTAATACTGTAAAAGTCTTCGATGTATTTGGTGCTGATTTTAATTAGATGCAATAGGAGCATTTAAGGGTCAAAAAAGATTAATTTATCTATAGTCCGATTAAAAAGATTATGTTTTACAAATATAATATGTTATTTAGGGTAAATCAATGTGAGTTCAAGTTTACATTACCCGGAATAACCTTACTATTGCTTCATTGTTTTTGTCTGTATATCTTTGAGTAGTCATTCTTTCGATGGGTGAAAATCCAACAAATAATTTAATCCTTGACCTGGATCAAAATTTAACCGGATTCTTGACTTAACCATAGTTGTTAAGGTTAACGGTTGTTTCCTCCATGACGTGCAAACCATTAGGTATTGTTGTTTTTGACATCTCTTCAGGAACCTTAAAATTAATAACTTTAAATTTGATCTTTCTTTAGCTTTAGTGGTTAATTGATGTTCACTCATTCACATGTCCTCACTGAATATAGTGTGATAAGCGTGTTGAATTATAACATCTATATTATCGCTACAAACCGCATCATAACTTAGTTTTCCAGTAAGATAGACCTTACTAAGAACATTTTAACTTAGATATGTTCTTGACTAAATTTATTAAGTCACAATTCAGCACAAACTATTGTTTTATACTTCATGAATACGATATAAATGATGTAGAGATAACACGTTAAAAGTTTCCTAAAGATACTTTTTGTATAACGGTGCATATAATAAAGTATTAGCAAATTGACTAAAATTTCGAAACTATCCATGTTTGACCAGAACTGTGCTATTCCTCATCTAATTCTTTTTAAACAAATTACCCAAGTACACCTTATCGACCATCTTCAACATCAAAAACTCCTCGATTTTGTCATCTTCTAAGGTTTTCAGGTTTTCCAATACATTGCTGTTCTGATCTATTTCTGATTCAAAATGTTCGCATAGCTTTTTTACAAATCCAAACAGGTGGCTTTGAATAGGTTTCTTGCGTAGATTATCCAATGTGTGCATGTAGAGATGTTCTATCATTTTGTCAATAAATAGGGTTTCGTTCACTTTTATCTCGCGTAGTCTCTTGTAACTAAGTCTTCCAAACACCTTAAACAAACTCGTTAACAAAAACGAGTTGTTTTCATTTTCAAATGCTAACTTTGCTAGATTATTCATGAATTCCAATGATACCACATTTGCATTGACACAATTGACAAATTCGTGTGCGAATATTCTCAGGTAATACTGCTCATATAGTTCAACATCAGTTATTTTGTATCCTATCATCAGATTAACATATGATCCTTGTATCCCTGAGTAAGTGTAGATGAATTTGATTATTTTGTACAGGTTGGTTATGTCGTTAGCGGCGACATCAAACACATCATAGTCATTGTTATCATGGCTTTTGGTAGCTTGATCTTTTAGCTTCACATATTGATCAATGAATAATGCTCTTCTTTTGTTTAAAAATGTGTGTAGTATACCTTCATCGTATTCTCCCCTTTCTTCAATCTGATCTATCATTGCTGTTAATAGGTCATTGGTGAATTTGAAAATTGTCAAATTGATTCGTTTGAGGTTCTTTAGAATAATTTTGCTGCATGTTTGGAGTACAATTCTATGTATTGTGTAGTTATTAATGTTGATGACTTCAAATCCATCTAACTTTATCAACAGTGCATTTAGTGCAGTATTGATTGTTGTTTTATCAGCTTTTCTGTTACAGTAGTGCAAAATTGTTTTTGTGTAATTTCTTACAAATAGCTCTTCTGGGTTTTCTGTAAGGATGTTTTCGTATTGATTAATTAGTGTAGTATTTGGCTGAGATTCATCGGTTGAATTGATTAGGTTGATGAATTTGGTTATGTTGAATTGGTCTGCAAAGATGTCGTTTCCTGTAAAGTATTCTGTAACCAAATCAATGTCTGAAAGGCGAGGATAGTTCACTATTAGGAAATCCATATGGTCAATGTAGAATGACAGTGTCTCTGGCTCATTCAATTCATAGAGTGTAAAATCTCTGAGGAGTTTGTTTCTGAATATCATTCAAGGGGTAATCAAGAGTTTTAGGTAGATATGAATGTTGTTCAACGTTATATCGTCATCTTTTTGACTAGTGATGGTAATTTAATAGCATTAGCTACGTGCTAAAGCACAAAGATGCATAGCTGATTGAAATCAAAGGTAGCTTCACAGGTTTTTAGAAGCAGAATGGGCTTAGGGTTTCTCTCCAGTCGCAGCAATAAGAGTGGACAAGTTCAAATTGGATTACAACAAAATGCTTCAGATCAATTACCTTACAAATTCGAAGAAGAAATAAAAATACACCAGCGTCTGACCCATTTAACACAGTTATGTATCACAAAGTACATTATTGCATGTTAGATGCTCGTAGTATTCATATTACAGCCTCTGTTATATTCTTACCGTCTCCAAACAAGAACCTAAAGAAGATTATGAGCGCGATAAACAATATTAAGCCACCCAAAATACCAACAATGATCAGTCTCCTTGAAGTATAGGTGTGGTCTTTTGTACTGAACACAGATGCCGTATGAGTCCCCATCTTGAACTCTGTTATCGTTGTGACAGTATCATTTCCTTTTACTTTATAGACTATAAATATGAATTTCCTTCCTGATGAACCATTAGGAAATGCAGCCTTTCCAATTTCAAAGCAGTCAAACATTGCCTTTAACTTCCCACACTTCTCTTTGACGTATTTTGACAAATCTGTTCCCTTACACGGCTTTTCCCTTGTAAATCCATCTATGAAATTTCTATAATCAATCGGTAATTCCATATTTGTCAATTCGTGCAAGAGATCTTTAAAGTCCTCATTTTCTTTCTTGATTTGTTTCGTCTCTTCAATAAGATTGTTGTATGACTCTTTTTCTTCCAGAAATTTGATGAAGTCTTCCTTGCATCCAATTGATAAATGCATGGTCGTTGTTGGTTTTAGGTAGTTGTTTTCTTTTAAATTCCCTGCTACATGAATTGATACTGTTCCTTCAGCATCGTTTAATTCCAGGCCATCAACCTTCACGTAACGCGATTCTGACATAAACGTGCATGCAAGTGCCTTTTTATCTGCACTAACATCTTTAATACTGTAAAAGTCTTCAATAAAGTTGGTACTGATTTTGATTAGGTGTAATAGGAGCATTTCAGGGGCTAGAACTAATGAGTATTACATATCAATAAGAAGGGAGTAATTTTGCAAATAGGAGCATGCAATCATTTCGTAAGAAAACAGTGTTTTGGTAAGTCATTTAACGTCTTGTCTGTGTTTGTTGGATGAACAAAATGATATCAGTAATAATGTCAAACATATCATTGTAACTGTAAAAAAAGGACAAACTGAACCCTTATTACGAACAAATTTTTTTAGTATTGCTTCCTAACACAATCTATTTACTTTAGTTTGCAACAGACACTTTTTGCTAGCTCTTTATATTCTGAGCTACCTTCATCAACCAGAATGAGGTTCAAACAGTCGATAATCCACTTTTCCCTTTCATCTATGTGCGTCAGTGCCCATTTCACCATCCCATTCCTTTTTTCTTTAGTCAATTTCGCACCTTTCTTTTCCATGTTCCTTACCAGCCATTTTAGTACCAGCCTTGTTGTAAAACACTTCTTTTTACTCAAAGATCTGTCATCCTCTAACAAATTGTACTCTGTTTCCTGTATTTTGATGAAGTTGTGTTGAAATAGAACTGGTTCAGAAAGCGTAAAACCAGTTACCTTGTTGTAGGTGAATGTTTCTGCCTGCTTTTTAGTCAAACTCAAATTGTGTTCGTCGTTCACTATGCATCCTAATTGCTTCTTTATGTACGAATTAGCTACGTCGTACTCTTTGTCTAGAAATGTCAATTTCCCCAGGTATTCTGTTTCATTTGCTATATTTGCATAATTCCTATTGAAATCGCCCTCCATCTTGCATTCTATACTATTGAATTCGCATGTAATTGGTTCTGCTATTTTCACATCTTCTCTCAATGCAAATATGCTTGAATACTCATTCGATGCCAATGCATTCATTGCCTCCATCGCATACAGATTCACTGCTGTTTCATCTTCAAGCTTACACCTACGTAGTGCTTCATATGCGTCCTTCATCTTCCCCATGAAATACAAACACTGTGATTTCAACAAATTCACCCTTTCCCCATTCTGTTTCCTGAGTATTTTCAATGCTCTATCAAATTTTTTCAGTTTGTAGAAGCAATACGCCTTTTC